GTATATGGACTTCATCTAGAGACATCTTCATCCTTCCAACTAAACCTACATTCATCTTATCTTAGCCACCACCTTAAAACCCTAGCCACTACTATAGTAACTTCTTTTAATTCTTTATTGCCTTTCGACTATCAGCAACTTATTATGATTAATCTTCATGTGGTGGTAATTAAGTAAGAGCTTGGTGATCTTCAACAATCTACAATCACAAATATAGATCTTCAACAATATATAATCACTAATATTGAACTTAGAAGATCTATAATCAAATCTATAGAAATAAACGACCATGGTTGTTCTATTATAGACAATGATTTGAAAAGTTTATAGGATTGATGACAAGGAGTTTTTGAACTTGAAAAAATATCATATGATTATAAAAAAACTTTCATAATCTTTCACATTTGCAGCCACTAAAAATCTTTAGATATAAGCTTTAGAGTCTTATTGTACCTAAAATGTCTTGTTGCTAAAAAGTCGTGACGTGCTTAAAAAATATATAAATATGTTTTTTTTTAGAATATATATGTGACCTTTGGAATAGAAGAGATTATTTTTAAACTTAAATTTAAAAGTAACATGATACTTAAAGGAAATATTCTTCATATCATAAATAAAAAAATCAAAGAACATATTCAATTGAATTTGCTTGACAAAGATTGAATCAACAATTAATGTTGATTTTATTGCTTAAAGATAAAATTAGTCAAGCTTCAAGACAATCATTTTTTATTGATCAAAGTTACATCTCCTTCTTTTGAAACAAGATACAAATGTCTAGAAATTTTTTTTGTCAAACCTTGTTATTTTGTAGGTAAAGATGTCATCTTAAAATCAAATCTTCATAATGACATTTTTTAACAAGCTTGACAATATTTCAATATCTATGCTAACATGAAGTACTTCAAATTCTTGTGATATATATGTAGTAACTAGATTGGAAGGGCCTTTTAAATAATGATGTCATTCTTCAAAAGAATTCATAATTACAAGTAATTTTTTATTATAGATTTTATAGTTGATATTTACTACTAAAATTTTTTTAAAATAAAAAGCTATTAGATGGAATTTGTTATCTACTCTTATTTCTGAAAATATTATATCCAAAACAAAGTCTAATGCATTTGTTTCCATGAAAAATTCCTTAAAGAAGTTGGCATGATATAAGATTGATGCAAAAATAAATTATTTTTTATAAATATCAAATGATACTTTGACTTCTTTATTCCACTTAAGTTTGTCTTTACGAGTCAAATGTATAAGTGGAGCTACAACTTAAAAAAAGTTCTTGATGAAGATTTAGTAGTAATTAACAAAGTCCAAAAAGCATTGCATATCTCTTATTGTTCTTAGAATCTTCCAATCTATGATAGACTTGATCTTCTTTGGATCCATCATAAGTCCTTTATTATAAATAATGTATCCTAAAAAATCAACTTCAATAATATGGAATATACACTCTTTCGTCTTAACATATAATCTTGCATCTATAAGTTTTTGTGACACATAAAAAATATGAAGTTTTTATTTTTTATATTTTTAGAATAGATTAGAATATCATCTAAATAACAAATAACAAAATCATCAAGAAACTCACAAAAAACGTCATTCATGAGATATTGAAAAGCAGGTCGTGCATTTGTGAGTCCATACTTAGTTCAAAAAGCAGTCTTTTATTCATCTCCTTCTTTAATGCGGACTAAGTTGTATGCTCTTTGTTGAATCATTTATGTATAGATCTTTGTTTGATTGAATTAGTCTAAAAATCTTAAAATCAAAGATAAGAGATACTTATTCTTGATGGTGATCTTATTAAGTCTTCAATAGTCTATGTACATCTACAAAGATCCATTTTTTTTCTTCACAAATAAGTTAGGAGTTTATATTAGAGATTTTGAATGACTATGAAGTTTTTAGCCAAATTCTTGTCAATGTATTCTTTTAATGCACCCAATTCATTTTACAATCAATTATAGATTGGTCTAAATGGTAGTTGAGCTCTTTTTTGGAAATCAATTGAACAATCATAAGATTGATGTTGTAGAAGAATATCTACATTTTTTTTTCAAAAACATCCTAGAAATCTTAATACTGACTACAAATACTACTTAATATCTTTCTACCATCAGAAATGGATGTAGCATATATAACAAACAATAATCCTTCTTTTGTGGCATGTATAAAAGTTCTTACACATATCAATAAAAATTTGGAAGTACTAAACTTATGTATTTCTACTCAATAAATAGAATTTTGGATTAAACTATGAAAAATATTATCCATTTGAAGATTATATTTTTTTAACCACAATAATCTTAAAATAATCAAATTAAAGACAGATTTTATAATATTAAATATTACTATGTTATTCTAATCTTTAATTGCTACATCTAAAAGAACAATCTTTTGGATAATACCTCCAAAAGATAACAAACAATCATCTATCATTTCTATATGTATGGGTTTAATTTTCTTGACTAACAGTATTTTTTATTTTTTGACAAAATCTTCATTTATAAAATAAGTTGAGGCTCCTGAAACAAATAATGCAAAGACTTTATGATTTTTAGATCTTAAACATACATCTACTATAAAGCAAGATGAGGGATTTGAAGAAAAAATAAGACCTTTACTAGGTGTTATACATGATTCGAACCGCATGGTCCTTATTGTAGTTGAAAAAAATTTGTTTTCCAACACATTATCTTCTTTGGCAACCATGCTCTTCATTTTGTGATTATATTGCTTCTTTGAATAATATTGAACAATATACTAAGCTTCTCTATAATATAAGCATAAATCCTTTTAATGGTGTTGAGTCTTTTTTTTTCTTAGTAAGAGGTTTTAAATATACAATATTAATTTTTATTGATTTTGGCCTTAATAAATAGATTTTTGAAAGCTTAGGAGCTGCTATCATTACTTGATTTATTCTTCTTTAGATAAATAGTCGATTATTATATGTAATGGCTTGAATGATAAATTGTTCTAAAGAATCTGCTTTTAGCATTGTTAATAATAAATTTTTGACATCATCCTTCAATCCATATCAAAATTAATTATTAAGGGCTTTAACATTTCAATCCACATCACAAGCAAGATTTTAGAATTTAGTAATATATATGGTAGTTGATCGTGATTCTTGTCATAAAGATAAGAGCTTAGTCTATGTTAATCTTTTTCAATCATTTTTTTCAAATGTGGTTATAAATACTTATAAGAATAAATTCAAATCACAAAAGAATTGTGAATCATTTTCCATTAAAAGTGCAAAACAAGAGAGAGCACTTTTAGAAAAAAGTGCACTATTGAATGCAATTTGAATAAATCCATTGAAATATTGAAAAAGATGTAATCTTAAATAGAGCTTAACTTATTGAAAAAATTCTCAAAACTTTCATCTTGTTCCATCAAACTTCTCGGGCATATCAATCCTTGCTTCTTTTGTGCTTTTAGAAGCAAGATTTTCTAAATTTAATTGTAAGGCTGATCTACTTTCTTTCGTCAATTGTACAAGTATTTAGCATAGAATCTAAATTTTTTCCATAGGCATTATCTTAATACACTTATATGTCACTCAAAAATACAAAAAAAAATCATTCAAAGATAATTATATATTAAATTAGAATGGCAATTTTTAAAGACAAGAAGATTAGAAAGTCTTAAAACAAGACTAATAACTAGAGAAGCATTGATAAGAGTAAAGAAGGATTCATTCTTGCCTCCATATATACTATCTAACTAAGAGCTATGTAGCAATATTCTACAAAACCTCCAACACATGTTGACTTTGCAAGACACGTATCTTAACTTGCAAGGCAAGTTTTCAATATGCACGCCACATAGTTAGCTTCTTCTACAAGCTACTAATACCTGTAACATGTGGTTAACTTGTTGACTAAGTTTCTAACCTATCAATCAACTATAAACATGTATAAAGTCAAAACTACATCTATGAAGCTTCTAGGAAGCTTTTCTAGAAGATATTATGAAATTAATCTATTTTTATCTACTTCTACCTATTCATATAGGTATGTATGTTAGTGATATTAAAATATATGGATAAATTTAGTAAAAACTTAAGTCTATTATATATATTAAGTAGATGATAGATTATTATAGTATTAATAATATATATATATATATATATATATATCTTATTAAATTTTTATCTTAAAAAATCTATAAACATTCATAAATATTCAAAAAAAAACTTTTAGCATCATTAAAATCATAAAAATTCAAGTTAAAAGTTTAAATGTCTTTTTGAAGATAATTGCTTTACTATCTAAATATTGCAATTGATTTTTTTTTTGTTTTCTTAGTAATATAATTTTTTTTGAAAAGACATATAGAAGACTTTTCTTCAATCAAATATGATTGATGATTTTATTAATTACTTCAATAGCAAACATGTTTAAAATTAAATGATGATTATTCAATATATCTATATATATATATATATATATATATATATATAAAGATTATTCAATATATATATTTAATACTACAATCTATATATTAATATTTTTTGTATTTTGAAAGTGCTAAATATTATATATTAAAATTATAATAAAAAATTATTAAAAATTTGATATTCTATTTTTAAATTTCTAAATTTTTTTTTGACATGACTTCTCAAATTTTTGTGAAGTAACCTCTTGATGTGGATCACTAAAAAATATCCCCCAAACTAAGAAATTGAAGACAAAGAAGAAAAGAAAAAAAAATGAAATTCATTGTAGTTTAAAGCAAATCAAAGCAAGCTTTTTTTTTCAAGCTCATAAAATAGGAAACTTTTTCCATGTGGAGGGAACTTTTTTCAAGCTCATTTCCCCTCAACAGCACCCTACGCACAAACCCCGAGGTCTGCTACCAGAGCTGCTGGCCTCCACCCGATCGAGAACCAATTGAACGGCGAAGATGCACCATACAACAGCCAATAGGAATCCACTCCCTCCCACCGCCCCCAAGGACGATGCAGTGGGAGGAGGGCAGCAGCAGCGAGTGGCGGTGAAGGAGGGCCCAATGGCGGAGCTGGTTTGATGATCCATCGCCACCAGTGGGGGTCTGTTTGTTAGTTTCTCATGAGAAGACTGACTCTGAGCCGCAATCCCGACGAGCGCCACAGTTGTGGGTCAGTGTCGTTCTAGTGTCCAAGTGAGTGAGTGAGTGAGTGAGGAGGAGGAGGGTGGGATTGATCTCGACGTGAACCGCAGGTTGTTGTCGTCGTCATCGTCGAAGGATCAGGTAGTTGCATTGCCAGGCAAGAGAGAGCGATAGTTAGCCATGGCTATGGCCACCGCTGTGCCGTGGACAGGTAGAGTAGTAGTGGTAGTTCCCAGTGGGTTGATTCCTTGTGGGAATCGTGGTGACTCTTCGATCGGTCCGAGATTGGGAGCCATTCCAGAGACCGGCGCTTCCTGTGCTCTGCCTGCGCTCCGGCTGCAGTGTTGTCGCTGGAGCAGTGACCTGGTGGCCGCGATGAGCAGCTCGCAGAACGGGAGTTTTTCTTTCAGGAGGATTCGGGGGGCGATGGTTGTGGCTAAGGCCGTGATAGGACAGGCGGAGGAGGAGGAGCAGCAGGCAGCTGGTGTTGATGTGAAGGTTTTTCTGGAGGATTTGAAATCAGTTGGACGGGTGAGAAGTTTTCTAGCCAATGGTTGTGATGCTGTCGAAGAGGTTAAGGAGCTGGCAATGTTGTCGATGTGATGTTGTTATTGTCGTTTTTCACGGTGTTGGCAAGAGGCGCTTATGCGGTTTAATTGATATTGTCTTGTGCTGCGCACCGGAGAGATTCTTGTGAAATGTTCTCGCGAATGCTTTGACCGTTTTACAGCGGTATTCATTGAGCTCTGTGTCCGCAAAAAATTAACTGATTGACTCTTCGGTTGTTCAAGTTTGTTCCCTCAGGGTACATTCTTCACGCAGCCGTCTCCTGAGTGACTTTATAGTAATGGCACAGTTGTTGAACACACCCATTCTTAGTCATGTGGGAGGTAGGTTTGAAGTTGGGAAATTTGTTTGATAATGCAAGTTGGGGAAACAATGGTGCGTTCATTGCAGTCAATTTGCCGTCGGATCGATTTTTAGCGGTAGACAGGTGCAGGAATGCTAGGTCGTGAAATGCAGAGAGTAAAAGCAAAGCAGCTCTGCATAAGTTGGGAGATTAGTAAGAATCTCACGGTTGTCTTGCTCACTTTCCGCTGCGTTGCATTGGATTGCTTGGTTCGGAGTTGGATTGTGCACATTCGGATTCGGATTGTGGAAGAATTACGCAAGTGGCGAGTGATCATACTGTGTTGTTCGTCTTTACTAGCTTTCGCTTGTGTTAGTATTCGATTCGGAATGTACATTGTCCGAAATGTACTTCAGGGATGTACCGCTAATGTGATAGAGAAATACGGGATTTTCCTCGCAAGATTGAGCCTGGATTTGGCACGATGGGCTAATCTGTCCGTGTTCGTATTCTGTTCGATGTAGTGGCGAGGAACTCGCATTCATCTGCAGTGGGATTGTTGTGAGCTTCACCAATTTTTCGGTCGTGTCTGGGTTTGAGATGGCTGAAAAAGTTTCTTTTTGCAATCTACTGTTCTGGCAGTCGTTGCTTCGTGATGCCAGTTGACGCTCCTAGATTCGAATATGATCAATTGATCCTGCTATCTGAAACGCACACCACTTTTGCATCTGTTGATTTAATTTTCTTTATCTTTAGTGCACTCCAGAATGTCCCAGTTAGGGAAACTGAAGCGAGAGCAAATGCACTTGCTGCCTGGATGTATGCAGCAGTGGGAGGGGCACTGCCATACAATACTGTGTTGGTGGTTACTACAGGTTTAAAATATGTCCTGAATAAACTCAGCCTCTACAGAATTGATGGAAGTGCTTCGGGCTTAGGTGTCAATTGTCCTATTTGGGCCTATTACGCGCAGTGATCAAGGTAACACCTCTGCGAAGAGAATGTGAAGTATGATTGAACTTTCCTGTAATCCTCAAACGTCTTACAACATATGTGTGCGCTTGTACCCACAGGTTCGGTTGATCGTGAACACCGGAGTGGCCGTGTTGGAATCCGTCACCAATCTAGAGAAGCTCTTCTATCACACACTTCCTGGGCGTGGAGAGTATGCTAATCTGATGCTGAGGGAAGACAACGTGGATTTTCATCTGCTGATCGACCAAGTTGTCTCTGCCAAGCTAGAGACTGGGAAGTCGTCCCGAGGGGACATCCCAACGTACATGATACGATTTATTGACACAAACGAGGCTGTTGCAGCAAGCTTGCTTGTAATGTGGAAACCCGGCACGAATGGCGACTATGATGATGGTCAGGTAGATGGGTATCAAAATTTGTTGAAGAAGTATGGTTCTGAGATCACGTTTACTCCAAATCAATCGCAATAGGATGCACCCCAGAATTGGAAAGATATGACCTGGGTATCTGCACCCATGTGCACACAATATGGGTATGGACATGAGTCATTCCTACAAGCAAAACACCGTTTTTACTTACAGCTGGCATCAGATGTTTGCTATCTGATCAACTCAATCGACTTGTATATTGCGCCGAGGGCGTGTTTAAAGTGCCCAAATCGTGCTATTGGAACCTGGTCGCCGCAGATTCTCTTCTTCATCGCCGTCAGTCTTGTGTCTACAACTGATGCTGCCGTCTATTCGAAGAACGATAATCATGACTGGTTAGTTATTAAATTGCTATTAAAAATATCTTATCATTGTTGAAAGATCTCTGACTGTGAGTTGTGATTTAAATATGGAAGGTATCACTTCAACTCATGGCCTTCGGTACAAGTGTTCAACATAACTTCACTTCGTACTTGCCAATTAACGCCGAATGTCAGAAGACATTGCAAATTTGGTGTATTTTACTGATCCAATTCTTCATTCTTGTGCTTAAGATTCAAGTAACAATGTTGTCATTATCCTTTGTTAATGCGTATTAATGAAGTAACTAAGAGAAGCTTTTCAACTAATGTTAATGTTAAAGCTTCTCTTAGTTACTTCATTAATTAATCCTTTGTTAATGCGTATATATTGTGATTCAGGCTGGTTGACATTCTATTATTAAAAGGCCATGAAAAAATAAAAATAAAAAAAATCAATTAATGAAGTAACTAAGAGAAGCTTTTCAACTACATGGTATATCTTAAAACACCTAAAGATCCTATTTATATTTACAAATTTTTTTTCATTTTTTATAAAAAAATATAAGCAATTTAAACTATTTCTATTTTCATCTATTTAATTCTACTTACTTAAGGGGTCTTTGTACTTAGAAGATAATATGAGAGACCACAATTTTTAAATGTTTTTTTTAGAAGTCTCAAGATTTCAACCAATCAAAAGATATAAATGTTGTATTTTTTTTTTATCTTGTTTCATCAATATAAAGACTTCTTTAAGTAGTCTGGATAATCAAAACAGTAGAATAATTAGTTAGTTTGAAACTTAGAAGATAATGTGAGAAGTCACAACTTTTAAATCCTTTGATTGATTGAAGTTGAAAAATTCTAGAATACAATACTATTTATTCCATATAGAAAAAAAGTGAGGTTACTATTACTTGATTGGTTGAAATTGAAAAACAATATAATACTTCTCATAACTGTTAAAATTAAGATATAAAATGACATATTTAAACTTTTAATAGAATAATTATTTCATCCATTTCATATCTCCTTTTTACTTTATACTATATCTAAAGAATGATTTTCTGCATCAAGAGAGGAACATTGATAAAACTTTTGAACCAAGACCTTTAGATATAGTATATAGACCATAATTACCTATAATTTTAATTTTTATACATCACATTATGATAGTCATATTTAATATTTTTTTATTTTAAAAGAAAGAGATGAGAAATAAATAGAAAAAATAGAGATAAATATGACCTTTATTAAACATATATATATGTATATATACATACATATATATATATATATATATATACATATAATTCATATTCAAAGTTTAATAGCAAAGATAAAAGTATAAATTTATTTTTAAAACAAAAGTATATTTTTTATTGGTTATATACATTATTAAGTTAGACTTTAGAATGTATAAGTAGTTAATATAATATATTAATAAATAAATAAATAAATAAAGCATTGCTCTTAAAAAAGACCAATTAGAAATCTTGATTTATAATTTTTATATCTAAATTTAAAAATTAACTAGTCAACTTATTCCAAGAAAGCAAAGTTTAACTAATAATTTTTATTTTTAATGTGATTTATTTTTTGAGTTTTTTAAAAAATTAGTTCATTAATTAATTAATTTTTGGCATTTTATTTAGTTGTATACAAAGATCAAAAAATCATGAATAATTTTTTATTTTCTACTTGATAAAATAAATATACAGAATACTTTGAAATAATTTTCAAATGTAATTTACGTGGATAGAGTATCAGCCCTATTAATAGCAAGCTGAACAAGCCTTGCATAATAACTATATGGTAGAATTGTTTATTAGTTTTCTTTGAAGATTTGAAAACATTTTGGCTTTCTCAATCTAAAAGTGTAAAGGACTCTTGGGTATACAACCCTTTTTTATTGAGTAGACCCTTCTCCATGCCAAAGTTAATAAGTTTGGATTCTGAATAATGATTCATGTTATACTTATTACTTTAATACCAAAATTTGATATATCCTTATCCATTTGTATTTTTGTTATCTCAACCTTCAATTCTTTTGTCCTTACAAACCTTTGGGTATTATTTTTTTTAAATAATACAACAGAAAAACAAAAAATGTTTATTATTGTTGTTACTTCTTAATATAAATAGAAAATAAATAAAATCTTATTTACAACAAAACTAATTATTTTTTTGAACAAAGGAGGTCCACGCACTAAAAGCAATCCACCCAACAGTTCCCAAAGTTTAACATCTCTATAACCATAATGAGTAGTTAAATACACTTGTGATACCAAAAAAGATCCAATGGATATTTTATTAATGCATACAACTACTTCTACTGTAGAAGATAATAGTTTAGACATGTTAATGAATACTAAACTAAATTATATACCTTTGATGATTTCAAATAGAAAAAAGTCATAAAACATTGTCAAATGCTTTGATTAATTCTAATATGAAGATAAATGTTAACTAGTAGAAGTACTACATATACTAAATATAGGGTTTATAATAAAATTTAGGGTATAGGAACAAAAAGATACAAAACCAAAAAAAAAGAAAAAAGGATGGTTAATAAAATTGTTACCATGTAATCTAAAACTTCAGAAAGAACATATTTATGAGATTATTTTTGACAAGTCAAGGCGCCCATAGGTGGTTTTTCCTGTAACTGATTACCAAATCTTTGCAGAGTAATTCAAAGTTTTTAACCTACATCGAGGGTTAGTCGCAACGAATGTGGACATAGTGACCTCTAAATGCTACATTTCCACTTCATATCAAGCCTATCCACATACGCAGTACTCATCGCCTAAAACTTTAACTGTCACAAAATTAGACTGGGAATCCTCAAGATTGCGGATGTTAACTTGAGATGAACATACCCAACCGGGTAAAGTTTAGGTAAGAGAAAATAGAGTACAGTGAGGCAACTAGGTGAAAAAAATCACCGGAGCAAAACTCGTGATAAGGTATTCATGTTAACTACCTGCCGAGAGTGAACAGATCACTCTTAAATCTACGCAACAGACAAGAACTTGAAACGACTTCACTAAATCTACTTAGAACTCGAAGGTAACTAGAAAAAGGCACAATACTTTAACTTCTTAACATGCGCGATTACCAGAACTGTGGTCGCGGCGGAAGGGATCATCAATCCTGAACAGAGGAAAGCTGAACCGTGAAACTGCGTTCAACACTTCGTCTCATTATCTGGTGACAAGTAACATAAGCCACTGATAAGATTATATATTATCAGCCAAAGGCCCATGACTCACCACAACTTGATTCTCAGCAATTGTGTCTCAAGAATTTTCCGGAGCCCTTGCTACGATGCTCCAAGCCGTCTTAAACCAGTCTTCAGCTTGATGGTAAAATTGAAGCCCTTTTCACCTGGAGTAGAGAAAAGGTTGCCCAATAATCCTATGCTATACTTGTAATCCTAATAAAAACCTCTCACCACTTTTCGTGTTCCCACAACTATCTCAATGGACTGCATCCCTCTGGGTTTATTCTATCTTTACAAAAGGGAGCCTCACATTAACTGAACGGGGGACAAAGACGTAAGAGAAGACTATCCAAAACTAAATTTTCACGAGTGATCTTAATTCTCAGCCTTAAACCTCAAACAAGATGAGGTCCTGGCGTGCAGCCAATGGCCACTTGCCTAAATAAAAAGAAAAGATTATCGTCCATATTTTCATAAAAAAAAACTGTAAAGCTTAGTCCATTCCCGCAGTTCCTATAAACAGATAAAAAGATCACAGTTAAATTCAGTAGACACAAGAACTTCGTAGCTTGGTAATAGTAGTCCCAGTCAATAATCCTCATCTTTAGCAGAAAAATAAATCGGTTACCGTAATTACAAATCAAACATTACCTTAATCCCTGACTGATAATTCTATTAGCGCAGGCAACAAACAGAAGCAAAATGGTGAATTAGTTTAGTAAAGGATCCTGAACAAGTTTTTAGCGAAGGATTGAGAACAAATTTAATGCAGATTGTTCCATTAGAATGTGGGGGATCCTCTCAAGGTTTATCAGTCACATTCTATATTCTCATTGTGAACATATTTTTCAGCAGAAAATAATGACAATTGAACAATACAAGCCCTCGTCACCTGTGAGTTCTGAATCGTGTGCGAGTCTCACACCTATTCACAATAAGACAAAAATTGGAATGTTATTCAGATACAGAAATTCATTAGAATTTCTGTATGTCACTAGTTGGATGAATCGCGTTACCTCTAAATCAACCGCAAAATGTGAAACCTTGGGAGCATGCTGATGTCACTATGAAAACACCACCTCCTGAAGGATCATCCAAACTTAACGTCGAACGGCTGTTGTTTCTCTTCCACTATACAAAAATCAGAATATCCACCTGCGCTTGGGCTGCGGCATGGTGACTTTGCATTTCTTGAAGTTTCGTGCCGGCGTTTGATTTCTCTGTAAAACCCAATGCATCTTAAAATGTCAATAATTATATTAAATGGCTGTTCTACATGCATCACTATGTCGCAGAACGTTAAGATAATGATAGGACTATACAAACTTATCCTCTGGCGACATCTATTGCATGATACGAACTACATTTAAAGTCAAATTATTGCAAGTTCTATTAACGCAGCCTCCGGACATGTTGTGGTATTCATCCATAAACCCCAAACATTGCACACTACTGGGAACATTCTTTGAAGATTGAAAATAAATAATCACATTTTCGTGGTCGTGCTCAGATAGGGTAATAAGCAGCAATACAGAACAGTCTCAGAAGTTCGTCCTTAGCTACAAACCTGAGAGAATGTAGAATGTGTGGCATTCTCTTTCTTTTCTTTCTTCTCGTGCTCTAGAGCCTTAAGGTCTCTTCTCACTTTAAGTTCTCTCCCATAGTTGATAATACAATTCCCATCCGCTGAAAAGCAAGCCAATCCCTGTCGATCACCACCATCTGCTGCACCATAAAACAGTTAGTAAAATTCATATAAACTAGAACACTTCAAATAAACGGACATCGATTATTTACAAGGACATAGAAATGGCTGATCAAGCAGAATAAGAGTCTCTAGGCACTACAATAAATACAGACCTGATATACGCATACAAAAATCTCAGGTCGAATTAATCATGCGTTCACAATCGTATGTACAAACTGCGCAACTACAACATAAATTCAAGGATTTAAGAAGGAACATCCTCCATGCGTCAGAACTACTTGCCTGCTCGGGACGTGAGCAAATAGGGATTTCCTGTGGAACTCTTGACAACCAATGCCTTTAATTGACCTTGAGAATCCTCCAAATATGAAGACAAACTGCAAACATGTGCTTCCAGCTCTGTTTTCCCCTCGTGATGTAACTGCAGCTTCTGACAGGTGTCCAGCTCCAGCATTGTCTCTGGATCCTCAACTAACACTCCCACCGAGGGATGCTGAGAATTTTCGACGCAAACATCACCATCAACATCGAGCGAATCCCTCTCACTTCTTGATTTCACCAATTTCTGCTTCAGAAAACTCAGCTCTTCAGCAAATCTCTTCGTCTTCTCTCTCACATTCAATATCAAATCGTCCAGCTCCTGACACAGTCTTGTCAAAATATCTACCTTCTGGTTACTTATTCCCTGTTTTCGTTCCAATTTTTCCTTTTCTTCACCAACACTTCTCAGTAGCTTAGCAAGCTCCTGACAAACAGCCATAATAAACTCTACCCAGCCCAAAATGGCCTGTTGAAGCTCCTCCATTGGGTCCATATTTGCAACAGTCAAGTCTGAAACATCCATCTGTTCAGAACATAACTCTTGCCGATCCAGATCAGGCTCAAGATCCTTCACAAGGTCGTCATTACGCCTGGGTAGCCCAAAAGCTAAACTTTGTCGATCAAGACCAGGTTGCAGATCTTTCACATGGTCATAATTACGCGTGGATAAGCATCCTAACTGCATTGACATTTCCAGCTGCCTGGTCAGGTTTGAGTTCTCATCCACCAAATTAACCATCTGCAAAGTCCAGGACCGCAAATAAGGAATAAGTATTTAGAATAAGTGAATTTCAGAAACAAACCTCAGATGCTACTTGAATACAATCAAGTACGATAAAAGGCTTCAAAACGGAATAATTTTAATAATACGACAAATCTCTAGAAATCCAGCCACTGTAACTTCTCTTGAATAGAACAAGACATCCATACATGTCTTGCACGTTCTAGTCTTCGAATTTTAATAGACGAATCCAATGAATTGAAGCGACTCTTTGACTCCATATCTACTCTTTATTTATTAAGAGAATTATAAATACACAACCAATTTACGAAGTTTCAGTAACTTGAAACTGTGGTTCTGATTGGAGTATATGTATCTATTAGACGTTACTCAGAACTGGTGACCTGTTTAGTGAATTTACGAAGTGATCAACACACTAACATGCATCTTATAATGAGTCAACATGCTAAAGTCAATACTACTACACAAGAATGCATGCGTACAAGATGCCTTTGAAGCACGTGAAAGCATATAACCCTCGAGAAGACAAACATAATTCATCCAAAAAACAGACTTGGCTGCTTTATCCTCAAAAATGTATCAAAAAACAGAATAAGCCGTTCAAATTTCTCGCGGGATAATTCTAGGAAGAATGTCTTATGAATTATGACTATACCGATGAAACCTAACCCCTTATACAACTATGACAGTGGCGAAGACTAGTACATACATTACTAGTAATGAAAATAGAATTCTCGTGAGTCTTCTGTCATTAACCAGCGAAGCAACCATTCCAAATTACTGAGAAATGACCACTCCTTGCCACTATTGACAAATCCCAAGACTGATACAAAAAACATGCTCTAGTTTATAGTTATGACATTAAGAAAGTATCTTCATACAATCTCTTGCATATGCTTGATGCTTGTTTGCAATGATATGTTGAGAATGCGCACCTGTTCCTTAAATGTCTCTAACTGCTTAGCAAGCTCCAGTGCTTCCTCGTTGTACTTTTTTGCATCATAATCAGCTTCCTGGAATCTTTTCGCGTAGTCCTGCAGTTGCTCCCCCAAGCCCTGCATTTCACTCAGAAGGTGACCCTTTTCTGTAACAACGTCACCATTCTGCTCTTGTAACAGAATTATCTGGTTAGCCAATTCGTCTTTGTCTCTCCCAATATCATGTACACAGACTTCCAGAGAGGCTATTTGTGCATGAAGATGCCCAGCAGCGAGTTTCGATTCTTCAAGGGATATGAGCAATTGAGAATTTTCCTCTTCCAAACAGCGTAACTTCGCAGCGCAATCCTGTTCAAAGATTTGTTTCTCAAGTTCCAATCTCTGAACCTGCTCTTTCAAATTCTGACGCTCTTCCTGTATAATTAGCTCAAGGTTTCTCATGGTGACACTAAGTTTCAAATTCTCAGATTCCCAATTCTTCAAAATTAAGGCATCTTCAACCTTCTCATCTCCCAGTGACTGCCCTGAAAGATGTGAACCATGATCCTTGGACGTCTCTCCAAAACTCTTCTCATCAAAGCTATGCACTAGCGAATCCCGAAATTCTATCTTGTCTTTTCGTCTTTGTACTTCTTCAAGGTTACTGGCAGCATCTGCCAACTGCATCTCTGCTTGATTGCTCTCCATCTTCTCCTCCAGTAAAACAACTTTTCTGCTGTGTTCTAGATTCTCCGCTGGTAGTTTCTGAACAAGTAGATTAAAGGAATCAAGTGAATTCACTAATTCATCCTTGTCCTCTTTCAGAACTTGAAGCTGGAGGAGCGAGTCCTTCTGTGCGGTAGACAGGCTTTCTACTATTTCTTCGAGTCTCCGCACCTCTGCTTGCCGTCGGTCCACCTCATCCTCAAATACCTTGATTGTGCCCTCATACTCTACAATTTTTAATTGCAAATCTTGAACAGAAAATTTGAAAACTTCAAGAGATTTCACCGATTTAGCCTTCTCGTCTTTCAAGGAATGCAGCTGGAGGAGTGAATCCTGATGAGCAGTAGACAGAGACCTCACCTGTTCTTCGAGTGTCTGTCTATCAGCTTGACTTCGCGCCACCTCTTCTTCAAGCAACTTAACTCTATCCGATATTTCAACATTTTTTGCTTGCAGCTCTTGAACAAACAATTTGGAGACATTGAGAGACTCCACCAATTCAGCCTTGCCTTCTTCAAAAGCCTTAAGCTTAAGTAGTTGTTCCTGATGCACAGTCGACAAACTCTCCATCTTCTCTTCAGTTTCCCAAACCTGTGCTTGCAGTCTTTTCGACTCCTCTTCGACAGAAGAAAATTTACTTGAGAGCTCTACATTATCAGCTTGGAGCTTCTGAACAGATAAAGTGGATGCATCAAGGGCCTTGATCAGTTCATCTCTCTCCTCTACCAACTCTTGGAGCTGAAGGAGTGCATTCTGATGTGCAGTAGACAAGCTCTCCATTTGCTCTTCAAGTCTCTCTGCCTCCACTTGCCTTCTTTCCATCTCGGTCTCCAGAAATTTGGTATTGCTGATATGCTCTAAGTTCTCTGCTTGCAACTTCCCAAGAACAGAATTCGAGCTATCAATCGACTTCCTAAAATCAATTGCCTCTTTCTCCGCCAACTCAATCCGAGCGAATAGCTTTTTCTGCTCAAAGAGAAGCTTATCTTTTTCTTCTTCCAAGCTAGACAAATGACCACTCATCAACTGGATTTCGTCATGCCGTTTCATCAACTCCTCTTCCAGTCCACGAATTGTCTCACTCAATTCGGAGTTTCTCACCTGCAGCTCTTGCACCGCATTTCGTGATTCCTCAAATGAACGTTGGAATTGAACTTTCTCATCACTCGTAGACACAAGCTGAGAATCTAACTCTTTGCGCTGATACTCATTCGTATCTTTTTCTACTTCCAAAATTTGAAGCTGCTCCATCAAATTGCTATTTAAATCAGTCAATTCCTGAATTGTCTGTAATGACTGAGATTCCATGGTCTCCAAAACCTGCAACTGAGAGAGTAACTTTTCTTGTGATTCTTTCATGCTCGAACTACTATCCTCCAGACCAAGGACACGGTCCTTCAACAGATCAACCTCCATCTGTTTTTGCGATAACTCTACTTCAACCTTTACAAGAAGGTCCACATTCTCAGCGTTCTTCAAATGTAAGTGACTTAACTCAGCACTCTTATCTTCCAACGCTCTCTCAATGTCAGATTTTTCCTTCTCTAAGGATTCAATCCGCATAAGATTAACATCGTGAACAGAAATCATCCTTGTGGAACCCTCCCTGAGAGTATTAATCTCCTCATTCAAACTTTGGACCAAGAGATTGGATTCCTCCTGGATGCTCATAACATGGCGTTTCTCTTCCTCAAGGGACTCCAACTGCCGGGTAAAGTCATCATGTTCTATCAACGACTTCGCTTTTTCTCTCTCCAAGATATTGATCGCATCATGCAGCTTTTGAGTATCTTCTAGCATCTTTTCCTTCTCTTCTTGCAACTGAGAGTTTTGCAGTTCCAAACCCTTGAGCAGCTGAGTTGTCTCATCTAAATTTTTTGCTAGCTGTTTCTTCTCAGCTGCTGGCCCTTGAAGCCATTGGTTGAGTTCCTCTATTTCGTAAGCCATTTTGTTTTTGTCGTACTCCAGAGTATTTACACGATGTAACAGAGTTTTTTTCTCCTCAAATAAAAGTTCGTTCTCGGTCAGCATTCTGACCTTGTCCTGCTCCAGCATAGCTATTGCGGCTGCCAAGCGACCGTTCTCATCTTGTAGTTCCTGTAAGCAAAAGTAAAATAAAGGAAATAGTGAAGCGATTAGGTGCAGTACATCATATTCGAATTTTTACCATAGCTTATTGCATTGTAGTCGAACTGGGAAATTTATTGAGCACGGATGAAATGAAATCAATGATGTTGAGGACCAGATATACTACGCCTGCAAGAGAAAGGATTCAAGACCACCTAATTCAATCAAGGAACTTGCAACGAAATACCTGTTCCTTGCGCAACTCATTGAGTCGTTTAGACAATTCCCCAACTTTAGTTATTGCTTCGGAATTTTTCACTTCAACTTCTTGTAGCTGCCGACGAAGCTCCAGAACTAATCCATCATATTTCAGTTTCTCATTGCTCCTCTGGTCCTTGACTTCACTGAGTTCTGTGGCTAGATTGGCCTCGCTATCTCGAACTGCTTGGATCTGATCCCAAGCAGCCTGCAACTCTGCTGCTAGTTCCAGACGTTCTCCTTCTTGCCTTTCTTTCACTTCCTCAAGCTTGTCAATTTCACTCTTCAACCGAGTCGTTTCTTCTCGTAATTCTTGAATGAGTTGATTAAAATTTTCTACTTTATCCATCAGATTCTTTATCTCTTCTCCTGACATTTGCAAGCGTTGCTCCAGATCTTCACCCTTGCTGATAGATTCGGCCTTCTCAGCTTCTAAACCTCGGACTTGCGTTTCCCAAGCAATCTCCTTCAAGTCTATCACTTGCTCTGCTTCCTCTTTCAGTTTCACAAGTTTAGCAACCTCTTCTGCAAGTTCACGCTTCTCCTCTTGCAAAGTATTGATGTTGTGGGAGGTTTCCTGTCTTAACGCCTCAAGGGCTTGGGAAGTTTCTACAGACTTGGAGCTTAGTTCATCTTTTTCCTTGTCCAATGCTAACAACTGTTCTTCAAAACTCCTTATCTTTTGTTCGAAGATAGCTTCCTCAACATCTCTTCTTTCACTAAGTTCTCGCAAGTCAGAGGTGAGCAGTGCTTCACGCTCATGAGCTGCCCGCAGCTGCTCCCAGACTGTCTGAATACCAGCCACTAACTCCATTCTCTCTGCTTCTATTGCCAGTTTATCCTGTTCAAGCTTGTTGTAACCCTCAATAAGCCGTGACTGCTGTTCCCAAAGATTCTGCACCGATTGGCTAGCTTCATTGGACTCATCTATGAGATGTTTGTTGTCCTCTTCTAGCTCTCGTACTCGGGTGTTAAGACTATCAACTAATGTCGCTGATGTCGATTTCTCCACCTCCAAGCTCTGAACATGCTCCTTACAGATTCTGAGCTCAGCCTCTAATTCCCCATTCCTTCGTTCCTTCTCTTGAACAAGTCGTTCAAGATCACTGCTAAGGCTTTGCTTGTCAGCTTTTAACTCCTCCACGAGTTGATCTAGCTTGCTTGCTTTTATCACAACGTGCGTATTTTCTTCGCGGAGGCCCTGTAGCTGTAGTTGCAGATCGAGAAGCTGATCCCGTGTGATCTGGAGTTCAAAAGCCAAACCCGAAATTTTTCTCTCTGCGATTCGCTTCTGCTCATCATATTCACTCGACAACGAAGCATTCCTGTATTCAAGCTGGCGTATCGCAGCGTTTGATATCTCAATAGTGGACAATAAATCATGTTGCTTGACCTCTAAAGCGCAGACGTGTTCTTGACAAGTCTCCAGCAAACCAACAAGCTTCTCTTCCCTTTTCTGTCTATCTTCTAAAACAACCGCTACTTGACTCGTCAGTTTAATATTTTCCTCATTAACATTGTTTAGGGCGGACTCTGAATCTCTAGACTTCACTGAAACACTGCCGTGCTCTACCTCAAGCTCACGGAGCTGTTTCTCAAGATATTCTAATTGACTAGATAACCTACAAACCTCATCCTCGTCCTCGTGCTTGAAAGCTGATATCTCGGATTCTAACTGAGCATGACTTTCATTGACTATTTGAAACTGTGCCTTCGGTGCCTCAACCTCTGCTACTGGCTTAAGCCCCTCGACTTCATCCTCGCGAATTGACAACTCTACCTCACTACCTTCCACCTCCAGACGCGTGTCCTCTAGCGGCAAAACGTCCACCAATTGGCAGGATTCATTGGATGCACCCCTCAGAAGTTGGTTCTCCTCCTCCAGCCTTCGAAGCTCCTGCTTCAAGTCCTCAATTACAAAATTGAACTGCATGCTGGATTCCTCATTGGATGTCTCAGCATCATTGTGCGCTTCTCCTGAATCGCCCATCATTTGTTCCTTCGGTCGTTGCACGTAACCCTCTGAAGAAGCTACATCATCCTGTACCTGAATTCATCATTGAGCATGTTCAGAGCTATATTTACACTATCACTCCTTGACTAACTTTTCCTGTTACAAACTCCCCGCCTACAAAGACGATAGCGGCAATAATCTCCAGGTTAACCTCAAGAAGTCCAGGATACCAGTGGTTACCGACTAAACTGGGTAGACCAATGAACAGGATGATATCGACAAATATGTCACTCTTGGCATCAGATTTAAAAGACAACCGCATCACAAGTCTGAAGCCCAGCTGATCGTGATATTATATGATTCACATCCTTCTCATCAACATTTCAATTGCGTGGGTATTAATGATCGCAAGACCAAGTCATTTCCTGGACAGACAGGGTTCGGGACACCAAACGATACAAATACGAAACCGAACTCGAGACATATCTCACATTCACGTGATGCCATAAACTCGGACAACTTCCTGTTTCGGTCATTTATTTCTAGCGCAACATGTTCATGTTAGGATCAATAAAATAAGCACTCCTGGACGCAAGGTATCACGCCCATCAATCCAGGATTTCACTAAAACCCTAAACCTTAGTGTGATCTGCAACGCTCACCACAAACCACGAAAATAGACCACTCATAAGGCTGCGACTCTCTAATCCGAAAAAAAAATATGAGCGACGCACAGTGATCCACTTCGTAATTCCACTCCCGTACCGACCCGTAGCCCAGCATCAGTGATTCACAAAACATCATCATCAGCAATCAAGCTGGAAGCAGATCTCACCTCGGATGACTCCATGTAGGCTCACGAAATGAAACTCCCATTCCCGTACAACCATATACCAAACCTTAACGGCCGCGAATTCCTGGTCCTCCACCAGATCCAAACCAACCACATACACCAGACACGAAAAAAAACACCAAACTACGGGCGGACTCCATGCATCACATCCCAAACCTATGCGCAGCAGTCCGAACCTTGAAGTTTTGTTTTTCTTTTAAAAGGAAAACTGCCGCGCGCCTGCTTCAAAAAAATTCCAACTTCTACAATCCTTTAAAAATCCCCTCCAGACTGCCCTAGCGTCACATCGCCACTACCTCACCAAAAAAACAAAACCTACGATCCAAGACTACACAAACATAATGCGTTTTCAAGTGAGTCTGCATCTCCAACACATTAAGAGAAAAAAATAAGGAATTGTTTTTTAATTAAAAATTAAAAATCCTCGCCACCTGCACTACTCAACCTAGGCCGGCTATTCGGAAGACAATTTCTTCGAATGTTCCGGGAGAGGAGGAGGGGTCCAGATCCAACAGCCGGCGAGAGGCCCAGTGCTCATCGAAGTACGTGCAGGCAGGGGTGGGGGCCGGAGCACCAGTGGGCCTTGCAGACCGCCGGATGGAACAGCTCACCACTGCTCAAACACTCGCCGGGTCACTGCAAATCTAGCCCTCCCAAATTTAAGTTGTTTACTCCAACACCGCCCCCCGCTTCATTTCCGCGAACCCTTCCCCGTCGCGCTCTGAAAGTGAACGTGCACAACTCTGTCGGGTTGAGGGCCCGATTAATGCCCGCCGGCATCCCCGCCCACCCGACGAAACCTCCCCCTACATAACCTGACCCCGCCTTGCCCGGTATTTCTTCTTCTTCTTCCGAACCTATCTATTCCCGAGCCTGAGCCTGAGCCTGAGCCCATCCCCACCCCCTCCCGGTTAGTCCGCTGTTTGTTGACAAAGCCTGCCCATTTCTGGGTCTCCGAGACTTCTTCGTGTCGTGGCTCCCGTTGCTTCCGTTTTCTACCCGTTGCCAGAGCTGACGAGTTCTGCCGGCCAACCAGCCCACCCTGATCACAGGGATCACAACGCGTGGAGCAATAGTGTGAGCGAGTGAGTCTATCTATGTACCTGGCTCCAGATAGGCTATATATAATTTTTCCATTTTAATCTATATGTCTCTTGGTTTGTGACTTATTTTTGCACATCCACAATTTGTGTTTGTGCTGCTTTTAGCTTTTCCTGATTAATGGGTTGTGTGGGGGGCTGTCACTACTGACATGCTACTCACCCCATTTGCATTGTCCCAAATCCATTTGCTGCTTATTTTAAACTCTGTTTTGTGCATGTGTTGTCTTGATGTTTCCAAGGCTGGCATGGAGAGTGAGCTGGATGGGTGTTTTCTAGTATGGAAGTGACTGACTGACAAGTAAGAGTGGGTTTCAATGGAAGACAATTTCTGGCCTTGGTGGCAGTTGCCTGTCCTTTAGCTTGCCATTGCATGCTTAAAGGGGGATTGAGTCTTATTTTTTTGTCATTATGGCATTGACAATTTTGGAGGTGTATGTGATATGGCAACCCCAAGAATCATGCTCTTTTAACAAACTCTGTCAGTCTCTTCAGATAGCTTTCTTTGACATAGTTGAGGCCATCCTCCTTGGGACCTGTTGTGCATGCAGTGTGGTGCAGGCTGAGAGTCCACAATTGGCATCACATCTTTATCTCTTTATGCCCATATTGGTACTCTAAAAACATGCAAGAAAAACATCAGCTTCTTTTGTCAATAAGCCAGCCTCAAAATTATTGATTTTGTACACCAAAGAAGAAAAAAGAAAAATGGTCACTCATTCAGTGCTGCCTTTTGCAGTTTGAATTCTTCCACATGTTCCACATTAAGCTTCTCACCTAGACACCATTTAAAATGTGAGCTAATGGAGGTTTGATTACACATCAAGACCATATTTTTAAAACTGTGACTGCTGGGTAGTATTATGTATATATATATATATATATATATATGTGTGTGTGTGTGTGTGTGTGTATGTATACACATACATACATACACAAACATATTTCATATATATATATATATATATATATATATCTTTCTTTCTCAATGTGTGTGTATATATGAATAAATCAAAACATACTCATATCTCTTAATTGAGTGCTTCATGGTCAAAGAATTATAGTGTCATTTATGTTTATTTAAAAAGGATTGAGGGGGAAGGGGGATGTAGGAGATTCAGATTGTGGTGTAACATTTTTTTTTAAAAAAATATATATATTTTTTTTTTCACATGAAATAGCACCATTTTTAAAATTTGGATACTAAAAAAGATCTTCTTGGTAACCATCACAAAAGCAATCTTGGTGTAGAAACTTGAACTGTTGTTCATTTCTATACAAATATATATACACACAGAAACATATTTCATCATCAGAACAATAGTTGTAATATATTATTACCATGCTAATGCAGTGTTCCTTTGCACTTTGTTGAAGAGTAACACCAGAAAGCATATTAGAAGTCCTACCAACTTGGTTTACATTCATCATGGAGCATGGGTGCTAGGTGTTGTCCTACCTTCTGTGTTAGAATATTCACCTTACCAAGATGAAAACTAACCAACAGTCTTGGATCACCTGTAAGAAAACCAAAGAAAAATGTGTCTGCAGTGGAGTATACCACCAGCCATGACATGCAGAAGGGACTTTGAAGCAGTGAACAAGGGCAGAGACTAAGAGAGATGCTTCTAGGGAAGAGTTGTGGGGTCCCTGTTTTTGGTGTGGTTTTCATGGAAGTCATGAGACCATGACCTAACAGTCCACAACATAGCAGGCTTAATGGCCTCAGTCACTGGCATCACTAAGCAGTTTCTACAAACTTGCAGCAGCCACTGACAGCAACTTACCAATTCCCCATATCTCCTACAAATTCTGAATGGTGAGTTGCACCACATTGACTTTTTCCATAGCATCATGTTTTGTAGACAAAAAGGAAGAACATGTTTTAATACTTGTTTTCCCAGTCTCTTGTTCAAACTCACACTGACATCACTTTGCAGTTTCTCTGACATGCAGCAGCCAATGACAGAAACCTCCCAATTCTTCATCAATCTCCTCCAAATTCTGAATGGTGGGTTGCACCACATTGGCTTTTTTCACTGCATCATGCTTTGTTGACGAAAAGGAAGACACGTTTCAACACTCGTTGTTTTCTTTTCCAAACTCACACTGTTCCCGTAGTAAACACTTATGATGTGATTTTGATCCTCACTGGGTCTACGACTGTCTTCTGATTCGAATAATATTTCGTAGTTTTGCTCAAAAGTTTACTAAAGAGTCAAGGTGTGCTTTGAGCCACTACTTCTTATAAGTGAACAAAATCGAACAAACATACGAACACAATCTCACGAATAAAACCAAAACAATAATAATAATAATAATAATAATAATAAGAAGAAGAAGAAGAAGAAACAAGTTTGTAGCTGTATTTAAATCGGGGTCGGTGTTTTTGTTTGTAAAGAATTTGCAGTCAATCTGCCTCCTCAAGTTATTAACTCTATATCAATTTGAAGGTCTCATAAAAGTTGAATCACAAGGCCCTACACCAAGTTGTAAAATCTCAACACTGTCAACACAACTGACTAAAATATATTAAAGCATTGATGCTATGAGAATGAGAGATCTAGGCGACTGTCCAGATGTCCATTTCAAAAGGGAACCATTTGAGAGAACCAGTTTGAATTAATATTGTATACAGTGTATTTGTAAGCAGTTCCTGTCTACTGCCAAAGTGGTGAGGAGTGCTGAACTACCTAAAAGAAACCATTTAGTCGTCGTAAGTACAAAAACTTGGTAGAAAAAAACTTTTTCAGCTACATGACGACCCAATAAATGGTTTTCTCTGCCAGGTTTGATTTGATTTCTACCGTTCTCATCTCCAGAAATGCTTGTACGGTTATATTATACATCGTCCTTCCAATTCCATGCAGGCTGTAGCAGCGACCAACACAATTCTATAATTCTGCTCCAATACTTGGGGTCCAATTCTGAAGCTTCAACCTTAGTACGATAAGGGTCACTCAGTACACTTGAAATCAAGCTCTCACGTCATTTTTAAAAGGGTGTGTATACACTCAGAAGCATTCGAAAAAAATGCCATATGTCACTTTTAAGAGATATAGCCCAGTACAGATTACAGCGAAACTGGTATATTCTTTGGTATTTTGAATTGTCTCAGCTTCCTCCTTTCCTATACCTTGACGTACCTAGTTCCTCTCTTCTTGCTTCTCGGCCTTCAAATCAATCGCCGCGCTGGACGAGAGGAGAGCAAATAAAAAACACATCCCATAAGCACAAGTTAGTTTAAGCAAATTCAAGACTTTCTTGTAAGCATCTTTGAATATCCACAAAGAAGTAGCATGATAATGTATTATTGTTCAGAAATTAATAAAACTAACACACAAAACCAACAAAAAACACTTGAACATTACCTCGATTCACAAGAAGTTACCAAGACGTATGGTCATGACTAACAATGACATGTTTAGAGAGATTGACACTGATATTAAGTGATGGTCAGGGCAAATACTCACCTGTTGATACAATAACGTTTGCCAGTAGGCCTCGGCCCATCGTCGAAGACATGACCCAGATGAGCATCGCACACAGCACACACAACCTCAGTGCGGGGCATGAAGGGTATCGACCAATCCATGTGTGACTTCACATTGTCACCTATGGTGTCATAGTAAGATGGCCATCCGGTACCACTGTCGAACTTGGTCTTTGAGCTGCAAAAACATTCAACGCCACTTCGGTAAAACAATGTAGGGCCAGATTAAGCTATCAACTACTCGTGCATTTCAAATCGTTCAAGAACATTGAATAAGGAAAGGAGGAAGTTGGAATGCTACGATGAGTAGAATGAGCCCCCACCTGAACAATGGTGTCTTACAACAAACGCATAGGTATGTTCCTGCTGTTTTGGTGTTCCAGTACTCTCTGCACCATCAACACTAATTATGTTACAGCAGGTTGTACGAACAAATCGAAGCACGAAATCATCCGTGATCCTAGCCCATCAAACTCTGAAAAATTGAGATCATTTAACCAATGGCATGCATTTATCATGGTGTGAAATGACGAGTACCCAGTGAAAGGTCTTTCGGTGCCTTTCTTGCGTGCGACGTAGAATTGCTGTTGAGACAGACGCTTCTTCCATTCCTCATCACTGAATGTTTTATAGTCAGTCTGCTCACTGACATCTGCATCATTCCTCAAAAATCAGCCATACAGTCCTCACAAGTGGAACAAAACTCTAGGCATCAAATCTACTGTACATAGATGGCCATGGCAGATATCTGAGGAAACGATTACTACGAGAAAAATTATCGAGCTTTTGGATACAATCCCGAGTTCATATTGAGAGGAAATTCGCACTAAGCCATGTAAACATTTCACCTCAACAGGCACGCACAAAGCTCCGAGTGGCCTTTCTAAACCTTTAAAATACACGCAAACGACATTCACGCGACCGTTTTCTTTTTTCTTTTTTCTTTTTTCCCCTTTCCTTTCCTTTACTTGTCTTTTCATTTCCAGTCATAGATCGCAGCAAAACGGTGTGTTCAATTGCAAACCAGAATTTTGAATTGCCCAGTTCTTCAATCCCTAGTAGAGGACTTTCAACCCTCGCAGCGTGAGCTAAGGAACACTATACGAAGAATTTGCTAGAGCCATGTCTAACGGCAATGCAACACCATCTACTACTCATCCACCAGAGCAGAAAAGGAGCTCTAATTGTCCACATACCTCCTGAAGCTTTCGGAACTGCTGCAGGTCGCACATCCGACCGCGCGGACATACCCGCTCCCATCTTCTGCACCTGAGCTCCCAAAAACACGCTTCTCCCTGGCCCTGCTGACTCTCTCTTCGCGCCCTCTCCAACAAAGCTCTGCAATCCAGCCCCGACGACACTGCTCCTACACACCAACACACTCTCGGCAACCATTTTCTACCTCAGCCACAGCACCGCTTCCCACCTCTCTCTATCCTCCAACACTCACCTTCGCGCGAAACCCACCTCCAAAACCCAACAACAATCAACGAGCTCCGACGAAATGCACCACCGACGGGGCGAATTGCAGAGAAATTGCCACAAGCACAACTCCCACTTCCACACGACAATTGGTCGTTTCCAGAAAGTTCAGGAAGGATCTAAGAGATTGACACCACGACGGTAGTGTGTAATCCAGACCTGGCAATGGATCGATGGCTGGCTGGCTGGCTGGCTTGTTGTGGTGGTGGTGGAGGTGACAACGATCAATTCACGAAGCCTTGCTTGCATGGCCACAACTTTTGGGCTTGCACTTGGATGACCGCTTTCCAGCTTTCCCCGAGCTTCTGCAAAGCTTCGTGCACCATCTCGAGAAAGAAAAACAGCGAGAGCATGAAAGAAAGAATGAAAGAAATCAACGCCTATTCTCTCTCACACTCACTCCATGCCGACTATGGTCCTCTCCCGTCCTCCTGCTTCACCTCGTCGTCCCTTCGCCATAGCCACAATTTCACAGCATGCGAGCCAGAAGCACCCGCGGAGCCAGAAAAACTTGCACGGCCTCGTATTCTTCTATTCTTCTCAGTATTAGTTGTTTTATAGAAATGTAATTTTTTATTATTATTGTTTATGTATTCAAATATAGGATGTAAATATGTTATATGTCAGATTGTTATAATTCTTGTGCATTTTAATTAATAAAAACAAGAGATCGATTCAAAATTAACTAATATCAATGTGTTTAAAGTAGGTTAATGTATTTAAAACAATTGATTATGAATTTTTGATTTAGATGAATGTTACCAAATCTTGTAGGTACAATTTGAATGTTTTGTCTAATCGTTTCTTAAAGAAAAACGTGCTAGATTCTCTGGAAAGTGCTAATTTATTATTTTGTTAGAAAAGAATCTAAATTAATCAATTAATTAACTAAGTAAAATAAATAAAATGAGATTTATTTTAAAATACCTATTAGTTTTCGATGTTTCATAAGACTTATACTGTTAGGTTAATAATATATAAAATTGTAACCAAATACATTTCAATCAATAAATACTATAAATTTATAAATAAAAACATAGCATTCTTAATTTATATTTTATATATAATGATAATGTAAAATTTGATTATTTTTGTGTTTTTGTGAAGAAGATTATATTTTCATGTAATTCTTTGATATGTTAATATTTTGTGTGTATGTATATATATATATATATATATATGGCTTAAAAATTCATTTATAATTGAATAGTTAATCTTAGGTTGTAAAGGAATGCCAAATATATTATTAAATAAGCTGTACATTGCATAAATCACTATCCATAGTAAGATTTCATGTTAGATTTTTTAGATGCTACTTATAATATAGAAGATTTTGAAATTAAGAACACACATCAATGTAGTTCTATTTTTCTTAGAGTTGGTATATATTATTCAAGAGTTATTAATTTCACTAGTGAGAAAGAAATAAATATCAAATTAATAGGTTTTGTGCCTTAGAAGTTTGCAATACCATGTGTAAGGTGTGGAAGTAAAGCTACATACATATGACGGTATTAAAAAAAGTTTTTTTTTTTTTTTTTTTTTTTTTTTTTTCCTATTTAAAAAGAATAGGACATTATAGACTATGTTTTTTTTAACATGGTCATTTCTACATCTTTATTTCAACTCTATAGATGTTGTAATGTTCATTATGGAAGAAATCTTCAATCATAAAAATCAAATTTTGAGTACTTAATGCATTTTTAATTCTCCTTTTACAAATTGGTGCTGCAAATACTAATAAAAGAGCTTGGATATAGTATGTCATTGCAAAACATGATTTATTGTAAAAATCAATCATTCATATATGTAACTAGCAATTTATAATTCTAAAGTTATTTTAAAAATTAATAATATAAAATATTACTATATTCAAAAGAAAAAAATGCTAATAAAATTATACTAAATAATTCTTTAATAAAAGAATTTAAAATTTAACTTTATTAAAAAATCAGCCTTTATGAATAATTTTATTACTATTAATAAATTTAAGGATATTCAGTTTATATTAAATATTAAAAAAATCCAATAATATACTTGATATAATAAATATATTGATACTACTAAATATAGACATGTAGATAAAATAGTTGCAATTGCTTCTATCTTCTTGCTTATTTAGAGAGATATAAGGTTACTATCAACTACTTTAATGTCCATGTTTTATTATTTTTAATATTATTCTTGTTATTTGACTTCTATTTCTTAGAATCATATATTCTAATTGATTGTACTATTAAGTGTAATATAGATTATATTAAATGTTAGAGCTTGCTATAGCAAAATCCTCTCAAATATTGCAATAGTGATGTCAAAACACTTGAAAATGAAATGTGTTTATTTTCATGATGAACAATTGTGCTAAGTCATGTTTTCTTGACTCAAATAAGATGTTTGCTTTAAAGTTGCTCTCTTTCCAATCCCTTTCCTCTTCTTCTTGTAGTACCTTATAACATTCACACACACAAATTTCAATTCTATAAATCTATATTGTGGATTATTTTGTTTTTCTAAATTTCATCTTTTATGCATCAAGTTAGGATATGTGGGATTATCTTATTGGTTGTCTTAGACACACACTTTTGATTTATCTTTGTTTCATTTAGAAAGGCAAGCTCAAAGTACCCTCAATCCATCTTACATAGGTCTTTTGCTGCAGTGGCGGATAGACTACTCTCCAATTGCTATCTCTTTCCATCTTTATTTAACTTGTTTCCTTGCCTTGCCAAACCTCTCTTTTGGACTTTATGATAAATGTTGGCTTGACATTAGAATTTCTTCACAACTCCAAAGGAAATAAGCATACACTCCTTCTCTTTAGAATAAATCATACAAGGTACTCAAATGTAACTTTGGTACTACAACAAGAGTGTCACAACAAGAGTGTCACTTCAAATTTTGACTTCAAAATAAAAATTGGAAATGTTTTGAAGTATTAAGTTGAATTCTTTGTGATAAGATCAATAGTTCTTTGGGATGTTATTACTACTGCAATTAACTAAAGATACTTTATTGGCACTACTTTTTACTTTATCAAAACTTCATATCTCTTATATTCCTCATTATGGCATTTTTTGGAAGTACACCAAAATTTCTATGCCTGGTAAAATCATCAAGAACTTACAATGATAATGTTTCTTACTTCATTGAAACTTTATACCTCCGATATCTTTTATTTTAGTATTTTTTAAAAGTAAAGTAATGGTTTTATCTTCCACCCAAATGCCTTGTCTATTTGGACATAGATTTTGTCTTTTTTTTAGTATCACTTAAGTTAAAGACTAAGAAACAAAAGTAAAATCCTTCTTTGATATTTATTTCAAATTTTCAAATTTTAGAATAAGAGTTGGAGATTAAGGTAAAAATTGTAAGTGAGAGTGTTGTTATAGGCAATGTTCTAATATCAAACTTAGGTGATAGTAAGGGCTATTAATATGTTTGTGTTATTGTTTATTACTTGTGATATAGTTTTGAAATGAAGTTTATTTGCTTAGATTTGTCACCTTTTTCATGTTTTGGCTTCTAAGATAAGTCAATGTATTGAAGAGTTTTGGAGTTGTGTCAATTCCTTGATCAGATAACTATTTACAAAAAGTATTCATTGTTTTTTATCATAAGTTTTAAAATAATTTATTTTTAGTCAAAGGGATCTATAAATAAATAAAGTTTAAAAACTATACTAATTTTTAATAATATTTTTATTTATTTAAAAAATAGCCAAAAATTACAATAAAAAATATATTAATAAGAAGAACATAGAATTTTTAAACTGTGGTATTTTGAAAATAGCTCAACATTGTTGCAGAAGACATCTGAAACTATTAAGGGACATTGCATATAATGTATCATCTTCACCTGAATGAAAAAAATTAAATTCCATTTTTAAAAATAAACAAAAAAATCAAGAAATATATGTATAATATATATATATATATATATATACACACACATACACACAATTTTGAAGCTTATTGATGTACATTGCCAACATGTTGTATTAAAAAGAAGTTTTACAGGTATATTTTAGATTACATTTAGCAATACATATTTCCATTAGAGAATAAATAAAAAAATAAAAAATAAAAGCTATTTTTTTAAGAAAAGAGAAAAGTATGTTTTCCAAAAATAAAAATATAATGGTATGAACATCTATATGATTATCATCTTCCTATAATTGATACAAGAGAACTAAAAACGTTCATATAAGTGTTTGCAAAACACATATCCATGGTGTAAGAGTGTGGATTTAAATCATTTATAAATACTAACAACTTGTGCACCAATTCAAGCTGGAGTTACTTCGAACCAATTAATTTGCAAAGCCCCATAACAATTTAAATGTACATTATATATATATATATATATATATATATATATATATATATTTTTATGGCATTTACCAATTTATTAACCAAAATTACAAAAATTAAGTTATTATATTACAATATTTTTTTATAAATTATACATTACAATATTTGTTGTAATATTATAAAGTACAAATATTAGTTATAATTTTATAGAGTACAAATATTAGTTGATGTTGGAAGCTAGAATAAACAAATAAACAGACGGTCCTCGATTCGAGGGTGCCGACGTGGAGGAGTAGGTGGCTGCTTACGTGGTTCACCCATAAAATTGGCGGGAGAAGATTGGATGAGCTAGACATGGATGAATGAGACTGTTGCTGAGGGCTGGTGGACGAGAAACAGACATGGTGTGATCCACGGTGGTAGGGTACCGAACCTCGGGATTGGGGCCGTCTCTGCAAAAGCCAACGGAGTGAGTGAAGGGCGGAGTGTATCCTCGCGAATTGCAGCGATGGCGAAGTTTGTGCTTGTTCTCAATTCGGGGAGTTCCTCGCTCAAGTGAGTATTTCGGCATAATCGGCCATTGTTTTTCTTTGCTTTGCTTAAGATTTAGTTTGATCATATTGCGCTGGATTTGGTGCGAATTCGATTACGTTTAGTGCGTCCTGCTGTTTGGCGTGGGGTTAAGGCCTGGCGACTGTTTTTTCAAACCATCCTTGTCGAAGGTGTTCGATTATTTTCGAAGAATTATTCTATATTTAGATACCCTTTAATTGCACATCGAGGCGATGTTCATGCAAGCTTTGATGCTCTAATCGTCGTAGTTCCTGAAATTAAAGATATCCGTGACTGTGCTATTTTGAAGAAGTTTGATAAAGTATGTATTGACTCTGCTTGAAGGGTCGATTTAAGTAATGCTCCTGTTCGACGAAGCATGCTGAATTTGAGAGTTCTAGGATTTTAAATTTTCGCCAGTACTATCGCATATATGGTGTTGTCTTAGTTGTGGTCGGGACCACATCATCGTCTGTCGTGCTTAAAGTGGATAATGATGCAGCTTTCTTGTGAAGCAAGGTTTAGTCAATAAATCTATCTTGGAGGTTTCAACCTAATGTTTTGAAGTGCAGTGCCATGTTTCCTCTCCTTCGCTATATTCTGAAGATAGAGCAATCGTGACATGCTTACAAGCTGCTTACATAATCCCAGGGAAGTATCCTTCGCAAGGGAGAAGTATAAGCCTCGCGATTCTAATAATTTGGAAAATTTTCGGATTTTTGTGGATCTGATAAAATTGTTAAAAATTCTCATTTGGTACTATGTTGACGATGGCATTTGCATTTAGATACATTTTATTCACTTGATGTATTATTGGTACGGGAACATGTCCAAAGTGGTGAGCAACTTTTTCTTCTGCTTGCCAATCTTCAATTGTAGGATTATAAAAACTTACGGTATTGTTTTCCGAAATAGATGTTTGTATGTGTCTCTGTTTAATTTTTTTATTTTTAAAGCTCATGTAAGTTACAGGATCTCAATCATTCTTTTCCACCTCGTTTCCGGGGCCTTTCACCTCTTCATCTGAACTTTTCCTTTGAAGAAAAGTCTTTTTAATTTGTTATGTGATAAATAGTTACTTAAGATGCTCGTCAACATTTGTAGGTATGCCCTCTACGATCTCGCAAAAGCAGCCACATGCATTTCTGTAGGTATCGTCGGTGGCATTGGCACCGAAAGAAGCTTTATCTCTCACAAGAATGTTCAAACGTCTCAGGATGTGACACTACAAGTAAGCAGGCTCTCCACTTTGTATATTTCAATTCTTTCAGCTTTATATAAGTTGTTTCGTGGTAACAACGGCCACTTTTAGGGTTTTTACATTAATTTTTTTTACTTAAATTGATTGAAAACTGCCAGGCTTTAGTTGATCACGTATACAAGAAGAGTTCACGAGTATCTTACTTTCTGTTTGTGCTGCAGTTACTCGGAAGCCTTCTAATAATTGTCCCGAATGGTACGATGTGCAGGGTCTAGATATCGGACACCACAAACAAGGCCTTCAAAAGGTGCTGGACCTTCTTCGCTTAGGAGAGGGTAGTTCTCATAATGTCATGGCTGTTGGCCACCGGGTAGTGCACGGAGGAGAGGCTTTAACACGGCCTACACTTGTCACTGAAAGTGTGAAACAAGCCATCGAAAAAGCTGCCCCGCTTGCTCCTCTTCATAATCCTCCTAACCTTGAGGTATGCGTGCAAATTCTCACTTAATTATTTCAGAATCTTAACAGCAGGTGATTGCTTTGAAGTTCACTCATTTGGGTTTCTCTAGGTTATCAAATGGCTTTACTTTCAGTGGCATATCTACAAGACCAAAAGTTTTATGTCTCCTTTTTCTTTTTTTTGTAATCCCTTACCATGGGGTTTGAATCTCGATTGTGAACTCGTTGTTCATGCAGGGAATTCTAGTTTCAGAAGAGATATTTGAATGCCCTCAGGTAGCTGTCTTCGACACAGCTTTCCACTCAACAATGCCACCTGCCGCTTACCATTATGCTATTCCATACAATCTTTATGAAGAGCTAGGCATTCGGAGGTATGGATTCCATGGAACAAGCTATCAATATCTTCTTGGACAAGTCTCTAACATCCTTGGGAAGTCTCAAGCAGATGTGAATATGATTGCTCTGCATCTTGGAGCAGGAGCAAGTATGGCTGCAATCAGGAATGGCAAGTGCATTGATACATCAATGGGTGTCACTCCATTGCAGGGGTTGGTTATGGCGACACGATCAGGTGACATTGATCCAGCTATTATTCAGATATTAGCATCTGAAAAGGGCATGGATGTCGATGAGGTTACCAACATGTTGAACAAGAAGAGTGGATTGTTCGGTTTATGCGGGGAGAAAGACCTGAGGTCTGTGTGGGATGCTGCTGAAGCTGGAAATGCAAGGCACAAATTAGCTCTTGAAGTTTACGTGCATCGCATTCGCTCATACCTAGGATCTTATTTTTTCCAGCTGGAAGGACAGGTTGATGCCTTGGTATTCAGTGCAGGAGTAGGGGAGGCATCAGGCAGGACTCGTGCTCTTATCTGTGAAGGCTTAGAGAAGTTCGGTATCGAAATCGACTCCAGTCAAAATGGGGAAGGGAAATTAAAAGAGGCCAAGGCAATACATAAGAAGGGTTCAAAAGTGCAGATCCTGGTTATACCTACAAACGAGGAGCTCTCTATCGCTCAGCAAACACTGCAAGTTGTGGAGGCACAGCAACAGCACATGAAACGTTGAGGTGGATTGATCGGATCTATTGTGTTTTGTTCAGAAGTTGTGTAGAAATATGGTATTCCGGATCCCTTCTGAATGCCACTGAACACCGATTTCTTATCAGATCTAGTGACATGCTGGAGAATATACTTGGAACTGCTTCACGTGGTATTCTAGCAGCATCCTAGGATTAGGAAACACTGGGTCGTGATTCTGAGTTGATAAGTTTTCTAATTCCTCTTGTAAATAAACAATCTATCTCCTCAGATCTTCGACGGTCTAGATAGCCAACAAAGGCTGCAAATTGGTATCTTCGGTCTTCAAGTGCCTCCCTTTCACCTACAGGCGAAGTGGTTTGTTCACCACATGTGGTGGAGCATTTTGAATCCCCTCCAACCCTTTCAAAGATTACAACATTCTGTAGCTTAGTGCTGCAGAGACCCGTAAGCTACTAAGCTTTTAGTCCAATGCTTTTCTATTCCAATGGTATTTTAGCATATTTCGGCCAAATATATTCTGGGACATCAGAACATTGAAATGGATTGAGATAAAGATCATACTAAATTGCATACGATCCAATTTTTTCCTAGCAGATTGGACCTCCATATATGTTTTTCTTTGATTTTTTATTTTTTTTCAAATACTTAGGATTGAAAAGCATCTCATGTGCGTGACATACCTTTGATACCCATGACATGTCTCCAATAGATAGATAGAGGGTATATTTTTTTTATAAATATCATTAATTTATATCTTGTTTTCTTAGAATAAGAAGTGTATGTCTACACATAAGGGAGTTTATGTCTAAAGACACTTTCAAGAATGCAATCTCAAAGCTATTTCTTGGATTTATTAATACTACAAGAAGCATGTCCTTTTTTTAATATTATAGGTGTGATTTTTATTTATATGTCCTTAAATAATGACTTGGTCAATTTAGGAGATTTCTTCTTTTAAAGGTTTCAATTTATATTTGCATTCATGCAACCTTAAACCACTTTTGTACAAACCTTTATAAGCAAACTTTTAAGTATCCATGTACATTGAGTAGTTTCGAATCAACAAGGAATAATACATGTTCAGATGAAATTTGAGGTATATATGATCAACAAATCCAAGTAATAGATATGTGCTTAAAAAGAATTTATTTGATACGTATAATTTAAATATTACTTTGACAGTTTATAAATAAGCAAAATGTTTTAGAGTAGAAGACATAAAAATCTTGGTTTTTTCAGTGGTTTAAGTTTAATAACATACATTTATACAACTTAAATATAAAAATATTTAAGAAAAATTTGATAATACATCATTAAATATTATATAACTGATTCCTATTTTTTAAGTTAATAATTTCAAAAGATAAAAAATATATGAAAATTACTTTATAAGTATTAGCTCTTTCGTTAAATTTATTTTTCATGTTTTTATAGTTAAATGTATAAATATTTTATTAATACTCACATAAAATTATATGTTAATAACATTACTGTTTAATATGGTTTCATCTATTTTGTGTTTTGAAATCAATCATAAAACCGCAAAAAAAATTAAATAAAATTTATGATAATTTTATAAAATTTAAATTAAAAAAAATAAAGCTAACAATGTATTGCATTAATGAAATTAAAAAGTAATTCATAATGTGACAAAACTTGTGACAGTAAAATTGAAGCTAAAAAAATCATAGACAATTTCAAGATGTTTTGGGTGGGAAAAAAAAAACAAACAAAAAAAAAAAAAAACAAAACAAAAAACAAAAACAAAAATCTTTATATTATATTATACAAAATCAAACAACTTTTTTTTTGCATGAGTATTTATTTAATATTTTAATATTTTAATATATTTTAATTTAATATTAATTGAATATAATTAAAGAATACTTTATTGTGATTTTAAAATAAAATATAAAATATAAAAATAAAATAATATATCCTATATCCTTCTAATTTATTTATTTATTTATTTCTTTCTTTCTTTAAGCAATTAAATTTATTTTTTTATATATTTTTATTAGAATAATTTTTACTATCAATAAACTAACAATAAATATATTTGAATGGTTAAAAAGTTGTATGTATGTATATGTATATATATATATATATATATGGTTCAAGCTACAAGCACATTCCAAATTGCTATACACATGCCCATCATGTCTATATACACACCTAAGGCCTTTGATTGATTGCTCTAGACTCCCTCTTCCTTGTCCCAACATAAGTTGAGGACCTCTCCATCCTATTCTTTGTCTTAACAATGGAACTACGAAGTTGGAGAAGAAATCCAAGACTTGCACAAAGACAAAGAAGAGGAAGAGTAGGAGATTGGGTCCCCCATCAAGCCATGGGTGTGTGTTTAAACATAATGGGTGTGCATGTAGCAATTTTAGATGTGCTTGTAGCTTGAGCATATCTAACTATCTAAGTTTGTTTGTTTTCTTAAAACATTATTTTAAAGAATTCTTTGTTGTTGTCACCAAAGCATTACTATGGCAGAACTACAAGAAATAATATTTTAATTAACTACTCTAAATTTGTTTAATTTTCATATTGTATAATGTACATATGTGTGTGTTTGTGTATGTATAATTAATTAATATATTTTATATATTTGTCTGATTTGATACCAAAAAATGTGTCCTTTTATTTCTATAGTCTTTCTAACTAGTATATAATTATCTAAAAATATATTTTTATAATATTTACTAATTATATATATATATGTATGTTTCTATATATAAAGATATCAAGTATTTAGAAGAAATATAAAAATGGCTATAAATATTTATAAACATAAAAATTAATTTTTACTAATGTTTGTTTAAAAATAAAATCTATTTGTAAAAAAGTAGTAATATATATATTTTTTCATTTATATTCCTTTACTTATCTATGTTGATTGAGTCATATATTTACCTATCCTTTTTGGGTAATAATGACAACAAAGTTTTAAAATATATAATTTTCAAACTACTTTTTTTAAGTATTTTATTTTTTATTAAGTCATATTTTAAGTAGTACTGATTTTTACAATATAAAGACACATGTAAATACTTAAATATCTAGGAATTACAATTTTCAATATTCTTATATATAGAAACCATCTTGTACTAGACAAAAAATAGTTTGTAAGGGTAAAGGTGGTAAAATCAAATAAGATAAGAATGTTATAAAATGAAACATATTTAATTAACAAAACATAATCAGAAGTTTGTTGATGAAAAGCCAAAAATTAAATCTTAGTGATACAAAATACATCACTTTAAAATATCAACAAATATACAGTTATAAATCAATTCACAAATCTTTTTTATTGTGGAATTTTCACATATTTTTTTTCTTATTATTCAAAAAGTCATTATTCAACAAAAGTTCAAAATTACAAAAACAAAACAAGGAGAAACTTTATTGAAAATGTTAAAGGGAATATTTGTATAGATTTAGAACAAAATCAATTGAAAGAAAAAGAATACGAGACTGGCGTAATCAACTAATGAATGCAGAGGACAAACCCCTTTGTGTCAAAGAAATATTTAATAAATAAAGTAAATAAAAGACTGATGTGATCAATGTGGAATGACCATTATCCCTGGTGTTTCTTTTTTATTTCAACATAATAATGATCCTATTTCATTTACAATCAAGATTTTGATGAATGTGTACATCACATCACTTTTTAGCCTAAAAATTATAACTTCAGGCAAAACGTTCCAATTCATAGTGTTCTTTCTTTTCTTCTTATGAAGAATTAACAAACTTTTTCCAAGGATGAATATTGCAGAAGCTGACACAATGGCTTGACACCCAGTTTGGTTAATACGAGATGCGGAGAGCTGCACCAAGCCTTGTTTCTACTAAAAAAAAAAGATCAAACTGACAAACAAACACCTGAATTAACTCCAGAAAATTGGATTTTAGTGGTGAAACTGTCGCCCTGCAAGTTGAGATTATAGTTGATAGAACAGTCTACCACAAGCTTCTGACCCTGCAGACTACTTTGAACGTCTGTCTGTTACAGAAGTATAATAAAAGCATGACGGTACAAAGGAGATTCAAATCCATTTTGTCAGTGACTAAACCAGAAACGGCGCTTTGCTATCTTTGGAGGTCACTTGTGTAACCTCAAGTGTAGCTGTGGAGCTCTTTGTAGGTAACAACCCCAATTCAAGGGCTGTGATTGAGTGTGCAGGAAGTAGGATTTGCATGTTCGGTGCTGCGTTCTCGGCTTGGCTCACTTGGGGCACCACCTTTTCACCAGAAAGACGAGCTCTGATGTTAGTGAAGAAAGCAATCAATCAACAGGTTTATTCATCAATATGGAGGCGTAAAAGAGTTCTTTTCTTCTTTTTCTTTCTTCTTCTGGTGTTTCGGCAATATGGAAAAGGCAGATGGAATGTTTCCAGCGTGTCTAAAAAAACTGAGAAGGATGATGCAAGACTGTCGCCCTGTGGCACTCGGTGGAAGATGAGAGACTGAGGTTGTGAGAATTGAACCTTTTTTGGATTTGTGAACGAGTTCTCGTCCATCACTGCTCCTGATGTCATGACCGTGATATGCGAATCCGCAGCCACGACGTTATTGGCTGATATCCCAGACACGGCAATGCTCAGGTTCAAAGCACTGCTTCCGAAGTTCACGGCCTGTATTTTGCAGGTATCGCCAGCTTAGTGCTCGCCTCATGACACGCTTAATTAAACCACAAGAATAGTATACATGCATCTACTCAAAGCAAGGTATTGGCTACCTTGACAATCATATACTCCATTCCAGTAGAGGCATTGTATGTGCGGACAGCCGATGTTGCAAGATTTGCAAGGGCCGAGGCTGAGTCAGCCTCCATGGTGGAGGATATGAGGTAGGCGCCGTTGGATTTCTTGAAAAATTGTTGAACCCAGTAGCTGGGTGTCCCATACTGTTGCCAGGAGTTGAAGACAATTGCATCGGGGTTCCATCTGGTCACCACACAGACCAGCTAGTTTTCTCAGCTTACATTCCTCTTCATTTCAATTCATACGTGTTCCACGAGGGATATGATGACCTTCACCTTCTGTATTGGAATTGCCTACCTGAGATTGCTAGATCATGGTCACTAACGCACTCCGAAGCTGGAAGAAATCAATTCGTAAAGCATGGAAATAGGTTTTGAGAACCACACCTTCTGTCGTTGTCATTAACAAAGAGGGGTGCGTAGCTTGCCATATGCACCACATCACTGCAGCCCCCGCTCAAAATATCATGTGCCAATCAGTCTACCTCCAGTGCACGACTTGACTGCCCGGAAATAGAATATCACTCATATAGAATCTAGTGCCATAATTTATTTTGCATGTCTATCGCTTCAGCGTACAATAGCTTTGAGTAAAAATAGAAACTAGAAATCGGATCGGAGCAAATTACTTGATAACAAACAACATTCTCATGCTACTTAGAAAGACGTTGCTTGAAGAGGCAATCTCAAAATGAATGTTGGGAGTTAGTGAAGAGAGTTCGAACCTGTTGAGCTCTAAGCCAATAAGAAATGCGCCTTCGGCTAACGAAGCCAGCAGACTGCCTTTTCCGGAGTCAGATCCCGTTACTGCATACTCGCTTACAAATGCCTATCAAGATACATGAAGACAACAGAATGCGTTATGTTTTGTCGAATCTCGTTTTCATTGATTTGGTGGCCGTCAAACAAGTTTTTAGTAATACAACACTCAAAATCACAATGACTTGTTCTATCTAAATCCACACTAATTCTGATGTTAGAAAATTTAACAAGCAAAATTTTACTTACCTTAGGTCCGCTCCTAGAAGTCTTATCAAACTGGTGACGCATTGAAAAAAGGTTGTTGGCATTTGTGTAGATCTAGTAATTGTATAGATAACGATGAAGCCCATCAGAGGTATGCATAATTCAGCATATTAGGATGAATCACAGTGATGGTTACCCTCAATTCATTCAATGAACAGAGGTAGATATCTGAAAAGAAAAAAGTCTCAAATTTTTCTAAGGGCTTACATGGTAGTCATATAAATCGGCTGGATGGTCGAGCGCCGCACCCGAGCCATCGCAATTAGAAATCACCTGTATATCTGGGTACAGAAGCTTGATAGCTTTGTAGAATTCCATGTAGTTTTCTGTGTGACCAGAGCGAGAAACAGATGTTTAGAAGTTACTTCTTTTCGAAAGTCACTGAGTAACGAAAAAGAATGACAGTAAAATTTCTTACCTTTGTAATACGGCTTATAACAGTCTTCATTACCAATTGCCACATGATGGAGAGGGAAAGGATCGGGGTGTCCCATTGAGGCTCGCATTGCACCATATTTTGAGGAAACAGGCCCTCTTGCAAATTCAATTCCTTCCAGTACATCCTGATCAAAGTAGACAACACTTTAATGCAAACCTGCATATTCTTTTGATGCTGTTTAAGTCAAGTCATCGAAGAGCAGTCTCGAGGGTGACATTGATGAAGCGATTTGTCGCTATAAAAAGCAATGCAGCTGAAGTACTCAAACAACTTATTCTTTTCTGTGCAACACTGATATGATATACATTCTAGCGGTGCCGAGATGAATTATGTACCTGAACCCATGGTCCAATAACATCAGTTGAGACCGATTGTTCGTGGCTGATACCTGCAAATGCCGCACCATGTGAATAAGAAGGTATCAGAAACATGTTCATGTAGAATGAAAGAAGTTCGATAATGATAGTTTCACCGTACATGTATTGTATCATCAATCATTACGTTTTGAGCATGCCGAATTGTAATATGAACATCACAAACAAACGGAGAAATTGCCACATACCGTTGTTAAAGACCCATATCGGTGCTGCTCCCAAATCCTCGGCCAGCTGCAAATCGGACAATCCCACCGAAGACAATTCACAGACGGAAAGGAAACCCACAAGTTCTATTCGATAGACTTTGGGTGCATTAAAACTTTTTACACAGACTTCAAATCCTACGATAATTCTAAGAAATTGTCATCACTCATCTCCTGCTGTCAATGGTTTACTACAGCAGACCTGGAGGCCCTCGAAGTAGCCAAAGCCATCATCAGACCAGTAGTACCACACGTCTCCGTAATGTCCCGGACGATTTTCATAAGGACCCACCGAATCCCGCCAACGGAATGCGTTTACCAACCGTGCACCCTCAACATAGCAACCACCTGCACAATGAGAGAAGAGTTAATGTTCACTGATAAGCACTAACCACATTTCCCAGACTGAGACCAATTTTTTGGTGACTTACCAGGGAAACGAAGGAACCCGGGTTTCAAGTCGGAGATCATTGTGGCAAGCTCCTTCCGAAATCCATGTCCCTGCACACCCAATCAAGAATATTTCAAGGAGTCAGGAAACAGATGGATTTGATATATTGGTTTTTTAAATCATCTGGCTCGTCATTAGTGGAGAAAAGGATAGTACAACTCAAAGTTTGGATGTGACGAGCCCTTTTCTCGCCTTGAAAGTATCTGTGGGCATGCCAGAAACTTGGTCCACCCAGAAAACGCTTCTTGTGCCACTCGTTAAAGACAACCGAGCGTTGTGGTCCGTAGACGTAGCCATTAAAACAACCGAGTATTTCCTCCATTCTCCAGCATTCAGACTGAATTATAGAAGTTCGACGTGATAAAAATCAGTGAAAAAGCTATCACACGGATGGATCAGCACAAAATGTCGGAGCATAGCTAGTCAATTGGCGCAAGTTGTGCCTTGAGAATAATCCCGAGTTGGACCCGGATTTCCAGGTCTCTTTGATCCACACACACACGGAAACATACAACAAACATATATGATATCTTTGATATGTCAGAAAAAAAGGAAAAGAAAAAGAAAAAAGTAATCAACAATGTAGTTGTTCACCTGACATGCTCTTGTGCCAAAACGGTTCCGTTTGCAGATGTGAAGGCCACAGAAAGATTGAAAGAACTTGTCGTCTTCAACCAGTACTCAACTCGGTATTTGGAGCCAGACAATATATTCTGCACACCTCAAAGCACCAACTGAGCTGAACACTTGAAAGGTTTAAAAAACGCGCATAACATCAACCATTTGTATCATGCTTTCTAGACTAGAATTCGAAGACAAGTGAGAATCACTGTAAAATCTAACCATGCCCCAGAATCCAGGGTTAGCAACCCCAACGCCTCCCTTGGGACACTGCAGGCTAGCGTCGTTGTTGTCACAGAGGACTTCAATTTTGAGTGCCACTGGATTTCGGGCGTGTGGTGACGAGCATTCGGTTCCAATCGTGATTTGTGCTGCGGTGCCAATCTTGTACCAGGGTTCGATGATTGATGGTACATTCAAACCTCCCGCCTCGAAACCTGAGGATGTGACTAGAGCAGTCATTCAGGGTTTTGATTGTGTATTAAATCAACAGAAACTCAAGCCGTACCTATGGAAAGAGGGTATTAATATTGATTATAAGACAGATGAGACCTCGATTCTGAACAAGCTCTGCCCAAAGGCCACCATCTCCCGCATGATTGATCTCCTGTAAAGCAAATGTAAATATTCAACGAGGCTTATTAGCCCTAAATACAAGCATGATATGTGAGCCTCATCAATTGAATTTATGCATGAGGTAATTCAATTTCAGAAATGATTTCAGGAAAAAAATGTTTTGAGAACTGATTTGGAGGTGTGATCATCGAATGTTCGTCGTACTTCAAAGAATAGTCCAAAAAGAGTAGATGGAATCTGTCTGCCAGGATTTGTTGCATTCACTTTGAGCGTCACGGTGGATTGAGCAAGTGCAGGCACCACTAGGTGAGTCGTAAACGCCACCACCAAGATGCATAGCAAGCTGTTCGCCATGAACTCCACAAAAGAGATCATACTCAACAAAACGCTAAAACCATGAAACTAGGATAGAAACCAACAATAAAAAGCTCATCACAACTCGTATACGCTGTAAACCTTACGAACGCTGGAGGTTCAAATTACGTAAACTCTAAACGACACACAACGAGCTTACAACTGATTGTAACATTTGGATGATTTACCGAGACATGGCTGTAACTGTGTGAAGCGCATGCCGATCTCCTGCACTCATGGTCAATGGATTTGAAAAAATTGCACAGGGATAAGCTCGTTGCAACAGGTTGAGGCAGGCTGTGATTTAAGATGGAGGTCAGTACTTCTTCAAAGCATCTTCATATCCCACTTCACTTCTTACCTCATTAATAAGAGTTAGAATTGAGCAAGAAAGAGAGGTCATTAATGAGTTGATTCATAGCCAATTGAGCCTGCCTACATCAGACAACTTTCAGTTTCCACAGCAGCCAAAGTTCAACAATAAAGTGCACGAGAAAAGAGATTGAAAACCGCAGGAGTGAGAGGCAATGCAGGACTCTTATAATATCTGTTCACGATTCATGTCGTAATCAGCATTCAGATGAGGACAAGGGTACTGAAGTTGCTCGGCTTAAAGATTAAGCCACTGATTTGGTTTGTGTTTCTGATCAGAAAACTGTGGTGCATCAGAAGAAAATCCGATACCGGGTCCGACACTCTTCTTCGAACTGAATGAGGTAACAAACTTTTGGAAGAGCTTAACCAGAAGGACAATATTCCTTTCAGCAATTTGAGGACGGTACTGAGATCGTGGGAAAATTATCTACTGGAATGTGCACCAAGTCACAACCATGCAACTCAAGAATGACCAGAGTAGTAAGGCTGAAGGAAATTCAAGATTAAAAATTCGAGAAATCTTGGGGTTGAAGTCTGCGATCTTTTCTTCGACGACAGCCAGATCAGATTTCAAAAACTGATCCAAGTGTTTACAATGTGCGGTTCTGCCATGTCCCTGTCACAAGGACACAAATCAATCAACAAAAATCTCATCACAAAGTATCTGAATGCTTTTGAGTGACGGTAGTTGGAAAGACTTGATTGCAAACTGGCAGAAAACATTAACAAATTCTACATTTGTGTACGTTTGCAAGCACGCGCAGAAAGCTAAAGAAACTGACAAGAAAGCTGACCATCAGATGCAGCCATTGCATTACACAGGTGATCCTGCTGCCTAATCCTGACCAATTACTGTCGCGGAGGTGCATAATTTTGTCTGATTTTAAGTCGATAAAAAGGAAGTAAGCGATTGAATGCAGATCGAAGAAGTCATTTCCTTCTAAATGTATAATATCAAGTTGGGTCGAGAGCAATCAATTCGCTATCTCATGATTGTTGGAGTTGGGTCGGTGTCCAAATCCGAGACAAGGCACACTGCCAGCTTGAGAAATCTGGCTAGGCGAAAACTATGTGTGAGGCATAAGACTCCCACTCTCGCTATCCCTTTCTATTTTACCTTTTTTTTTTCATAGAGTATGAGAAGTTTCACATTGTTTTCTGAAGCATGGTTTACGTGACCGGCAATGAACAATATAGGTGACGAGCTACATTGCATGAAAAGTAAGTCAAACATGCCCTGAAGGGCAATCTGTGGGTCCAGAAAATGCTGTTCATGATTTTTATGCGGAAAATATATATATATATATATACAGCATTGTGTCACACAGATGCAGAGGTGACATGCTTGTCCTAACATGGATAAAATTAATAAAAATAAAAAATAAAAATAAAAACGCCCCATTTCCATAACTCTTCTCAATCGGAGCACAACTCTCACTATCGGAAACACAGCTCTAGCATGGGCAAGAGCTTCCTTACAATTTCAGAGCATGTGAGAATGTTTGCGTGTCAGCACAAAGCGTAAGAGCTTCATGCTTTAGACGGGGAGGACTGACACTGACTGATGATTCCTAACACAGAATCATGTTCGTTTGGTACTTTGGATACACTCCCCTTGGACACGCAGAACCATTTTGCCGGGTTTCAAAAATATCATGTTAAAAAAGAAGAAGGAACAGGCTCTATCTGGTCATTCTTCAACTAGATGCAACTAGAAACAAACTGTCCGAGGTACACGTGATTTAGTCATCAGGTTTTTAGAGCACACGGCCCTGGTGTGCCCACATGTTCCGTGCAAATCAACTAGTGAAAACTGTGACGCAAGCAACTTCCATCAGACTGCAGCTTGAAGCAAAGATCCATGATGGAGCAGTAGAAGGAAGGCTGTCAGGCTGTAAGACTTTGAAATGAAGCTGGTGAGGCTGGCTGGCAGTCGCAACACGTATTGATCAAGTACTTTCTTCTTCATTTTGCTGCAGCTTACTGCTTCTGTGTTTGTGTGCCGAACACCCTAATTAGGAGTATATATTGTAATGGCTACAACCCTTGCATAACCATGACGAGCTAATGGACCCAACATGGGAGACACCTGAAAACCGCACTAGGATCTATCTACATATGGAGCCTCTGATCTATCTATGAGAAATGGACAAGCATGTTTTGAAATGAATGTATAAACCCTAGAATTTTTCACTGTGAGACGCAACCTTGGTGCAGATTTGACCATTAATGATCTTCGAAGCAGAGTAAGAGGCCATTTCTGCATCGTTGTCCAATCAACCTTCACCTCATTTTACGCAACGATAACCAAACTGAACTCCAGTTCATCTGCAATGGCCTCAGTATACCCTTCAGGCCTGCTCATATTGGATATGCACAGTTTGTGTGGAAGACTGTAAGACTGAGTTAACAGCCAGTTGAATATTAGAAAGCTTCCAAAGAACAGCAAAACCTTCTGCTTAACACTCTTGATTGCTTGGAGACGCCAACAGGCGTTAACTGTGGATCCGAATGACAACCTTTGAAATAGTTGCTGTTAGACTCCAAACGTCCCGTGGTTTAGAAGGGTCTCCTCTCCGACAGCAGAAGGCAGAGTAAAGATCATGCATGGATTGAGTCTCGTTACATTTGGGATAAGAACACGAACGTACAAGTGGACGGTATACACTAGACATGAAGCATTACAAGAGGCGAAGCTTGGATTGTACTATGAAGCGATGTGGAAACACAAGCAGTCGGACGAAACCAACGCCACGAAATCTTCACCCAGCGAGAACTTTGGCAAATTTAAACAAGGTACAAGTCACTCAGTGGTTAGAAATTGCATCATATACAATGCCAGTGTTAGATTCAAAAGTAACCCTAAGCAAAGAACTGCCAGATGAATCGTCAGGCCAACCATTTTTAACGATTCATTTAATCCAATTCAGGGGAGATTCACAAGCTAAGTGGTATTGTTCAGGGAAGTCAGCAGAAAAGAAAGAGGGTGAGGAATCAAACAACTGGTCGTTTGAAAGGAGTTAGATCAACTAGTTTCAGGACAGGAAAGAACAAAAGGAGGAAACAAAAACCCAGCATCAGTCCACGATGTGAAGAACGACGGTGTCGGTCTGTTACTTCTTCCTCGTTCGAAAGTAATTCAAGCAACTCCTGCAGAAAATCACGCAGAAGTTCACGAAAAGAGAGAGATGATGAAAGTTGCGAACCGAGCTGCTCGATGTCGGGATCTTTTCAGGATTCAATACCAGGCAGCAAGCATGTCTCTCCAGACGCTTCTCAGTAAGATTCTTATGCCATGCACCATTTGTCGCATTTCTGTATCATCGAAATAAACGTATTTCATGTAAATCGCTGCAGAGCAAACATATAACACGATGGGCGTGTAAAGGAAAGAACCATCAAGGACAAACAGGAAAAAATATCCAGCACCGTGGCATGGACAGGAGAAAGTTACAAATAAAGCACATTTGCAGAAGCGAAGGCACTTTCACAGCCATTGATACAAGATCTTGTCTGAGAATCTATTTTCCACCGCAAAAGTGTGCAACTCAAACATCCACGCTTCATTTTCACATTAAACCTTTAACAGAGAATCACAGCGTCATGGATTCAACGCTAAATTCTGTTGTTTTGAATGAAAACGCCAGGTTGAATCCCGCATTTGACCAGTGGGAGTTGAACATGACCCATGCTTATCACGAGGGCCTTGAAGCAACAGGATTTGAGCCTCCAGGCGCTCCCCCAGTCTTAGTAAAACCTCAAGAGAAACCTCGGGATAATCGCCACTGCCTGTGAAAACTGTGGTGAAGTATTTAAAGTAAACGATGGAGTCATTTGATCTCAACGGTCACATATTGGAAAGGATGCCAATTTTTAACTGCGTTCAGCGATGAACGGGGAGAACTGGCAGAATAAAATCAGCAGAGCTACATGCTCGAAAAGCACCAATTCAAGATTGTTCCTAAACTGGGAAACACCAAAAGATGACTGGAATCACAAACTTGACGCAGTAAAACTCAAGGTACTGACTGAGTAAAAGCACTAGGGTACTGGTTAATTATGGAAAGTACAGGATCTTAGATGGTTCCACCTATACAAAACACCCCGCTTCCCTGATCTTGGGCAATACGAATGGTCTAAAAATAAAAAATAAGCACAATATGTCATGATTTCACGTGTGCCACACTCTGTTTGAGTGGCAGAGCATGCCTAGTTTGCGTCGCCAGGCTCGAGCGCAGTTCTCCAACGGTTGAAGGTCTAACCATCAATGTCAACACATCTTCGTAACAGAAGCATTTCTAAAAACCTTCTCACTTGTTGGGCCATATTGCTAGAGCATTGGTGTGTGCAATGCAAGCATTAGAATATGCAACTGCAATACATTCAATTCACTGCATGATATTTCACTACGCAGGAAACAAGGGACCAAAGGATTCCAAGCAGCACAAAACCCACTAAAATTAAACTCGAGCAACAAACGCGTGATGCACTTTATAAGGAAGCAATGAACAGTTTGTCAAAAGCTTCCAAATGATAGCGCCTGGGGATTTGACTGAAAAAACAATAGTTAGAAAACCAATAAAGAGCTGAGCTTTCTCCAGATAAGGGGCCGCCTAATTAATGTATGCGGTTGGAAGTCCACACATGTACAGCAAACGTACTCCAAAACAACACAATCCAACCCTGGTCAATATCACCTTTGCAAAAAGCCCTTGAGCAATGAACAGATTCGCAACTAAGGAAACAAGCGAAGTCCTGCGCACGTCTCTGCGGGCTCTTTTGGATCGTTAATCAGCTAAATGTTGTCCAGATCTATACATATTGATGAGCCAAGGTCGGAGAATTTGAAATAACAGCGATCGAAGCCTGGGAAGGCGAACAACCAGGCATCTCACGCGAACTCATCACAAAAAGGTCCTATGATTCCAGATGAAGATCAGTGGGATACTGTCCTTCGCAAATCCAAACACCTCTGCATCTTAAGGTACAAAACAGTCGTTGTAAGTAAATCTACGATAGTAAACTCACATTTGTGCCTGAGCCAAAGCATCTTACCGTCGAAAGAATTGACACCGGATCTGACAGACAGCTCCAAAGCATCTAGACAACCCACCATGAGGAAAGCATCCGTTACATCATGACCATATTATGAAGCTCATGGCTGCACCAGACGCAGAACTACAAGCTGGAGAACTACACTGCACTAAGATGTCCAATCTAAACGGCATTCACTGGGGTCAATACACGATCTTCGTAACCGCTAAACTCATGTTGGTTGGAAGATCAGCCACATGCAAGGAAGCAGACACTTGCTTCCAGTCACCGGTTATTAGTGTAAGAAAACTTCGCAAAATCAAAATTCCACGCATCTGCAAGTATAACCACTCGTCGAAAAAAGGACGACATTGCACTGAGACTAACGCAGCAGTTTGTATAAAGAAAACCGGGTCTCGTGTCTCACTTAAAGCAAGTACTAGCAACCAATGCTCATGTCGAACGATAGCAATAGGCATTATCAGTAGCTCAGCTCGCAAACTAGACACCTCAGTGGACATTCACCAAAAATACCCCATACACGGATTTGCAAGGCCCAACATGTTCACTAACCTAAAACAAAAACAAGTTGTGTAAGGCAAGCGATTTGGCTACAACAGACAAAATTAAGCAGAGCCAGCAATCGACTTATGCAGCAACTTTCTTTGCAGTGACCGCGTTGCAAATAACACCAAACTCAGCACCCTTCAGTGAAGCTCCTCCGACAAGGAATCCATCAATGTCCTCTTGTGTGGCAAGCTCGGCGCTGTTGGCACCGTTCACTGAGCCACCATAGATGATGCGGGTCTTTGAAGACACATCATCAGAAACTTTCTCCTTCAACCACTGACGGATGGCAGCGTGCACCTCTTGAGCTTGCTGAGGGCTGGCCACCTTGCCAGTTCCAATAGCCCAGACGGGCTCGTACGCTACCACAATGTTCGACCAGTCCGATCCAACAGCATCAGCGTAAGCTTGCAACTGCTCGAACACAACATCGGTGGTGCGATTCGCTTCACGATCCTCAAGCTTCTCCCCCACACAGGCGATCACACCTAGGCCTTGGGACAATGCATACGCGCTCTTCTTCCCAATCATGGCATCGGTCTCGCCGATCACATGTCTTCGCTCAGAATGCCCTTGAATCACCCATTTCACGCCAGCATCAGCCAACTGCTCCGCACTAATCTCCCCCGTGAACGCTCCACCCTTTCCAACCCACGAGTTCTGAGCCGCGACCTCAATCCTATTGGACAACGATCCCAGCACCTGGCTTATGTACAGATATGGTGGCGACACGACAACTTCCACACCCTCCTCGAGCATGACACTGTTGAGCTCATCCACAAGCTTCTTAATGCTCTCAGTCGTGCCATTGCACTTCCAGTTGCCCCCGACGAAGAACTTTCCAGTTCCAGCCATGGAGACGACTCCCCTGCTCCCTGTACCCGCACTCTGCACACATCGCAAACACATCACCAAACGCCCCCGACAAAATCCTTACTCTATTTCTCTATCTCGCTCTCACAATCCCTTCACCAACCTCGCAAAACCCAAAGACATAACACAACCCTGCCTTAACCCATCAATTCCACCACACCCTTACCTGCAACCGTTGAGACAAGACTGCCCCGAACGATGACTCGTTGGCGACATCAGCACGGCGCAGTCCAGCGAATTGGGGGCGCGCGAGCGACGAAGAGGGTTTGGCAGCAGCAGCAGCGAGAGACGACGGCGAAGCCCCCGCAACGGAGTGCGCAGCCCTGCACGCAGCCAATGCCATTGCTCCCGAACACAAGCACTCGCGCGCAACGAAGCTCTCGAAATCGCTACGACTCGGAGTGCTCCAGTTCCTGCGTTGCAACGAGATGGATGGGCTCGCTGCACTCGGTGCTGCTGCTGCTGCCGCCGCCGATCCGCGATTAAGCTCTAAAGGAATCGAGCAGAGCCGATGAGCATTCGATGGCTGCAAGTCCCCCCCTTCCTCCTCTCCCGTGTCGCTCCCTCCGTCGACCCTCTTCGGGCGTTCCGCGCCCCCGTTCCCGTGACCCGGTCTTCGGTGCCCGTCCTCGGGGTTCGCGTCATTTCGCTCCGTCTCTAGATGGAGAACACGTGTCTTCTGGACTAATGTTGACCGTCGATGTTTCAATTTATTTTTTCCAAAACGATATTAAAGAAGGACTATTGGATGTGTTTCGACAAGCCTAGATTCCACTCTCTCCATTATCATTGTATAGATAAATATGCATGTGTATACAATTTGTGTATATGTATATATATATATATATATATATATATATATAGGCTTTTTTATTTTTTATTTTAGAGTAGGTAGATTAGAATATTTAAAAATAGCTACAAGTCATTTACATATACTAGGAATTGTGGATTGAATAAACAAATCAAATGTATATGCAAGGAATTAGGCCATAGATACTAAAATATATTATGTAATGGTCGACTAGAAACTTTATCATTGAGCTTTTGATGTTAGTTTCCTTTCAATTACAATTAAAAATTATCTTGTACGTTTTCATATGATCATAGCTAGCATGCTTTGAAACTTGGGTCCAAACCTTTTAAAATTGCCATTACCAAAAGCAATACACATAGTTGAAGATTCAATGTAAGGACTATCATGCAAAATCTTTTATCTACCATGGACTTGAAGAAAAAAACATCTACTTCAAAATGTGCAAGAATTATTCTAGAGTGGACTCAAGTGAATAGAGATAATGCTTATACAAGCTTTGTGAAGTACCCACAATAGATGTAACAACTTAAAAAACCAAACCAAAACAAAATAAAACAATAAAGTAACATAAAAGCTTTGTTAAATATCAATCCCTTAACAATTAGATGCTTTGACTTTTAGCTATGAGAGGTCAAATACATTTTTCAAATGTTCTCTTAATATAACAAATATCATCGCCTTAATCTTAAGATATTTTTTATTTAGCTAATGTATTGGCAAATGACTAATTTGTAGTTTGTAATAAGGTAGTCAACAAACAACATTGTTACTTCAAGGATACAAATAAGAATCTCTACCAAAACATATAAACATATTTGGATTTGGTTTTTTCTATTACAAGTCTCAACTTATTTATATTAGACTTAAAATTAGAAACTCAAAAGATACAAAAAAAAACCACTTCTTCAGATGATATTAAAAGCATTAAATTAGATGATATTATGTGTCAAGGACATGAATAGGAAGAAGATGCATAAACTTGGAAAATCTATGTCAAAAGAAAAATAAAAAAATAGAAATAAAATAGTGTGTATATTAAAAAGAAATTAAAATGGTTATTGCGAAATGACAAGGAAATTAGAGACTCTTAAATCTTGACTAAAAGCAAGAAAGGAATTAATAAGAGTGAAGAAGGCTTAACTCTTGCCTCTATATATACTATCTAACTAAGAGCTGCGTGGCGATGTTCTATAAGACCTCTAATATATGTTGACTTTGCAAGATACTTGTCTTAGCTTACAAGATAAGTTTTCTATGTGTGGGCCACATAATTAGCTTGTTCTTCAAGCTACCAACATGTGTGGCACATGGCCAACTTGTTGACCATGTTTCTAATCTAAAAAGTCAATTAAAGATACCTAAAAAATCAAAGTAGCATCTATGAAGCTTCTATAGAAGATATTATGGAATTGATTTACTTTTACCTACTATTATTTAAATCATATAAGTAATTATTTGTTTATATGTGTATGTCCATAGCATTATCCCCTCTTCTAGGGACAAGTTCCACGAAGAGCGATCTTTATATGTTGAACAAATCCAAGATGTGGCAAATTATATTTGCTACATACTCTAATCATTGTTCTCTTTGAAGATAGTTGATAGGTCCTCTCACCCATCAATAGTGTCCCATACCATGGCAAAAAGACCACCCTGTTATTTGGTCACTGTTGAGGCTTTCGTAACTTTCTTCAAATAAAACATTTGGAACACCGTTAAGAATTGTTCCTATCTCTAATAAAATCACTAAACATCAAGAGTCTCTTCCAAGGTCATGACACCAAATATGTTATATCTTGTCATCTATTCGAGGAAGGACATGTTGTTCTTAAAGATCTTCATCTCGATTTTGTCGTCTTAAACGTTGTGACAATTGTAATGTCTCATTTGGTAGGTCCGCAAATGAAAGCTCTTGAGTTGAATGAGTTGGTTGTTGGTTCTCCATCTCCTCAACATCACAAATACGCATAAGCTACAAAAAAAGATAGAAGGTAGAATGCAATCTTCTTTGTACTTTATTTCTTTTATAGCAAAGTCTTACTATTCTTTATCTTGATTTAGATAGATGTTGGCAATGAAAAGCCTCCACTGTCTTTGTTGTATTTACAAGGTTCTTTATTGGCTCCCATGTGCATTCACTAATATCATATCTATGCCGATGGACAAACTATTCCAATTTATTTTGGGGCCATGTTGAGTCTAGAACTTCTTCTATTTCAAACTCTTCATTATTGTCTACTTCTATAGGAAGAAGTAGAGCTTATGTTCTTCTTGTTATGATCATAGTTTTGTATGGTTCAAGAAGAGACATGTGAAAGACATGATGGATCTTTATTGCCTCTGGTAGATATAACTGATAAGCAATTGGATTGATTTGTCTACAAATAAAAAAAGGTCCAAGCCCCCAGTAGTCTAACTTATGACAAAACCAAGTAATCTTGATATTACAATGAAATAACCATATCTTGTCACCTGTATTCAATTATGGTTGTTTCTTTCAATACACATTTACGTTGATCTTTTGCTGTTCTTGAGCTTTCTTTAATTACACCTTCATTGTTATATGTAGTTCTAAGAAAGAATTTGCCAAACCTTCTACCACAAGATTATTAGCTTTTGAAAAGTCAAAAGTATCAAGTCATAGATGGTAATCATAATTGACAAAGAAAGGTATTTGTTGTGTAGAAGAATGTATCATATTATTATAAGCAAATTCTGCCAATGGTAAGAAGGTTTTCCAATTGTCTTATTGATAATTGACGATACTCTTTAAGTATTGCTGTAAAACTTAGTTTATGCACTCTATCTGTCTATCAGTTTGAAGATAAAATATCAAAGAAAGCTTTATATCCACTTTTAAAATCTTAAAAAGATTTTTCCAAAATCTTGATATAAATTGAGTCCTCCTATCTGATATAATATCTTTTAGTAATCCATGATATCGATAGATATTGTCAAAGAAAAGCTTGGCAGTTTCTTCACTTATGATAGATTTTGTACATGGTACAAAATATGCTATTTTGGTAAAATGATCTACTATCACAAATATAGAATCATACGATCGTGAGATTAAAAGATCTATAATAAAATCCATAGAAATAGAATGCCATGATTGTTTTGGAATAAGTAATGGTTGAAGAAGTCTATAAGATTGATGCCGAGGAATTTTTGACCTTGAACAAATGTCACATGATTGAACAAAGTATTCTACAGCCTTCCACATTTGTGGCCACCAAAAATCTTTAGATATTAGTTCCAGAGTCTTGTTGTATCCAAAATATCTTGTTGCTAGAGAGTCATGACGTGCTTGAAAAATACATAAATATACTTCTCTTTTTAGTACATATAGGCATCTCTCGAAATAAAGTAGGTTGTTCTTGAACTCAAACTTAGAAGTATCACGAGACTTAAAAGAAGTACTCTTAATATCATAAACAAGAGGATCAGAGGACATACTTGATTGAATTTGTTTGAAAAAAGTTGAATCAACAAAGAGCTTCTTGAGATCTCATAATTAATCTTGGCTCCTGAAAATTTCTTGGAATAAAAAGCTACTGAGTGAATTTTAGCATTTATTCCTATTTGTAATAATACACCGCCCAAAGTAAAGTCTAATACATTTTTTTCCATAAAGAATGCCTTAGAAAAGTCAATGCGATACAAAATAAGTGTAGAAACAAAGGCTGTCTTTAAAGCTTCAAATACTGCTTCCACTTCTTGATTTTATTGAATTTTTTCTTTATAAGTCAAATGTGTAAGTAAAGCTACAATTTGAAAGAAATCTTTGATGAAGATCCAATAATAATTGGCAAATTCCAAAAAACATTAGACATCTTGCATTATTTTTGGTATCTTCCAATCCATAATTATTTGAACTTTCTTAGGATCTATTATAATTCTATCATTTGAAATGATGTAACCTAAGAAATCAACTTGAATAGTGTGGAATATATACTTTTTTTTTATCTTGGCATAGAGTCGTCCATCTCTTAATTTTTGTAAGACATGATGAACATGAAGTTCATATTCTTCTATATTCTTATAATAGATTAAGATGTTGTATAAATAACAGAAAACAAAATTATCCAAAAATTCTTGACAAACATCATTTATAAGATTTTGAAAAGTTACCAGTGTATTTGTAAGTCCAAAAATACATGACATTATATTCAAAATATCAGTACATGGTTTGAAATGTAGTCTTCTATTCATTTCCTTTTTTAATGCATACTAGATTGTATGCTCTTCATAGATCTATTTTGCATAGATCTTAGCTTGATTGAAGTGATCAAGAAGTCTAGATATTAAAAGTAATAGATATTTATTTTTGATGGTGATCTTGTTGAATCTTTGATAATCAATACTTATTTGTAATGATCTATTTTTTTATATAAATAGAATTGGAGCTTCTATTAGAGATTTGGAATGGTATATGAAGTTCTTGGCTAGATTCTCTTTAATATATTCCTTAAATTTGGCCAACTCATTTTGTGATAAATTATAGATTGGTCCAAATGGTAGTTGTACTCTTTTTTGAAGGTCACTTGAATAGTTATAGGGACAATGTTCTAGAATAGTATTTGCATTTTTTTTTTCAATACATCTTGAAAATCTTGATATTGGCTTGAAAATACCACTTGAAGTCTTTGCACCATTAGAAACAAATGTGGCATAAATGACACAAGGTGATTCTTCTTTTGTAGCATGCAAAAAAATTCTTGTATCCATAAATATAGGTTTAATTATACT